GATTTGGGAAATTTGGGAGATTTGGGATTTGGGGGACTCGGGATTTGGGATTTCGGAGATTTGGGATTTGGGAGATTTGGGAGATTTGGGATTTGGGGAGATGGTATGTGCAGATTTCGGGATTTGGGATATTAAGATTTTTGGGACATAGATGTTTACAGATCTTAAGATTTGTAAATTGAGAGATCAAGAATTTCGTGACGTAGGCGCAGATTTTGAGATTTGTAGGTCTAGGGATTTGGGAGATCAAATTCGGGACATAGGTACACGTAGACCTTGAGATTTGTAAATCTAGAGATTTAAGAAATCAATTTCGAGACATAGGTACATTTAGATTTTGAGATTTTTTAATCTAGGGATTTTGGACGCCAGTTTCGGCACAAAGGTGCATAGAGATCTTGAGATTTGTAGATCTAGGAATTTAAGAGATCAATTTCGGGACATAGATACACGTAGATCTTGAGATTTTTTAATCTAAGAATTTTGGAGACCAGTTTCGGGACATAGGTACACATAGATCTTAAGATTTGTAGATCTAGGGATTTGAGAAACTAGGAATTTCGACACATATATTTGTGTAATATTTATGATTTACAAATCTAGGAATATTGGGAATTTAGTGACATAAAAATGTGAAGGCTTTGAGATTTATAGATTTAGGTATATTGAAAATTAGAAATTACAAATATGTGCAAATCTTGATATTTAGGAATTGAAGAATATGAAAATCTTGGTATTTGAAAATTTAGAGATTTGAGGAGCCAGAAATTTATGGATATTGAAACACAACGTTCTAGAAATTTAGATTCGTAAATATTTGAAAATATGTGAACGTGAAGATTGTTTGTATAGAAATTTGAAGACCTAGAAACGGTTAAACTTAGGGATACCGAAAATAGAAAAATTTGGAAATTTGTTTAGATATTTAGGAATTTGGGGATTTAAAAATATTGAATCTAGGAAAGTAGAAATTTGAAGATCTAGCAATATTAAAAATAAGGAAATTCAGGAATTTGTATGTTGGGACATCTGGGAATTTAACAAATTTTATTTTTAAAAATTTGAGAATTTGGAAATTTGGAAATATAGAATATTCCTGCAATTTGAAGAGTTTAAAAAGCAAAAATATAATTAAGATATACGTTATAATGATCTTCGATTATTTTTTGAACTTCAATTTTATATTTTTGTGATACTTAAAATCGCTAAGTAATAATCAATGAAATATTTGAAAACATTAAATTAAAAATATAGGAAATATTAGGAAAAGAAGTAGTGTAAGAATTTCTTGCAGGAAATGATTAATATGCATTATTTAAAACGGCCTTTAATTCTTGTATGCTTTCAGAGTGCACAAATTCGACCATTTTGATGCGACAGTGGAGATTCGGAAAGCAAGATGGCACCCTGGATCTACGAACGACTCTCATCTACTGGTTCTGACATCTGAAAATACGTTTCGGTATTTATTAGATACTTTTATAATAACATAATACAACATAAATAATCTGAACAATATTAATAAAAAGAAACGTATAATATTCGCTTAATTTTCATAAAATTTTTGCAAAGTATTGAAATGATACATTGACAATTATTGTCGAATTCATAATATTGAAACGATAAGTAAACAATAAGTGATGGAATATCGTTTGAAAATACAAAAACCCTTTAGAAAAAAAATGAGTCAAAAATAATTTTAATTTTTGTGAACTGATCTTTTCTTTTTATAACAAAATAAATCTTAGTTCGCAATAACAAAAATTAAAATACCCTTAGAAATTAAGTATCCTCAAAAGTTTACTGTAACTTTCAGTTTTATTTTAAAGTAGAATAAACTTATTTGTAATAACAAATAAAAACAATTACAAACAATTACAAATACAAACAAATAAAAGTCATTACATATTCAATGTACAATTAACATAGTATTATTCAGATAAAATTGTGATAAATCTTATTTTTCTCGTTCCGTTTACTTTTGCAAATGATCCGAGAAAAATTAAAGCTTTCAAGCATTAAAATTACTGAAGTGAGGTAAGTGCAGACTGGTTTCTTTAAAGTTGGTATTTAAACGTAAGTATTTTCAGTCTGCTATGTAAATACTTAACGCTGTCGATATCGAACGCTTTACACAATTATTACTATTTAATTAATATTAACTAGGACCTTAATTTTCCTTGTACATTTTGATTTTGATAGAAAATTGTTTAAAACGTCAACTACTCTGCACTTTCCCCGAAAATGGGGTAAGAGCGTAACTTGAAGTTAAATACTTTGAAACTTTATTTCATGTGGAATGAGACAAAAGCAGAATTATTAACAAATCTGCTATAAAATGCTTTTTACTGCATAATGCAGGTACTCTATACTGCAAACAAATACTATTAGCTGAAATATAAAAGGGGATATAATGAAACAAAACAAGGAAACAAACATACTAAATGGAGAAATTTCGCTCATATTGTAATAAAAATAGCCTGCACTTGTCCCGTTTACGAACTTACCCCACTTCAGCTTATCTTAAAATTAATACAATTTTGAACCATAGTTTGTACAAGTGCGAGGTTGGTAACGCACCCAGACTTCTGAAATCTTGGAAAGTTGGCCGTGTACCTTATGGTTCACCATCAAAAATACCCGATTTTTCTTCCCTCGGCGACACAGCAGTGGATTTCGACTTTGCTACACCCACCTTGCGCAAACCGGAAATGTTCGCTGGCAAAGACATCAATAAGGTACGAGATTAAAAAACTCACACAAAAGCCATGAGATACGTAATTGTAATACTTTCAGAATATCGTGGTCGATTGGAATCAAATTGAGTGGCCGATTTTAGTTCTTAGAGGAAATGGAGAGGTGCTGATTGTTAGGGGCAATTTTTTGTACGACAGGTATGACAATTTTAATTATTTTTTGTGAGGAATTGATTTATCGTGAATCAAATTTGTGAAATGATACTTCAAGTAAAAGTAAATTTTACTTAATACAATTTTATTTTTATTTCTCTTTTTTTTTTTTTAAATAATAAGTATCTAAATAAGAATAATTCAAGGATTACTCATTGATTTTCTGCATTTTTATACATATATATTATAATGTTAAATTAATTACATTTTTTTATGGACTGTAACATAAAATTACTTACATTTCTATTGTATATTGTAACAAAAAATCAATTGCATTTTTAAACACATATCGTCGATATAACTTTTTAACTATGGATGATCTTATTAAAAAATAATTGTTATTAGCAATTTGTTGATCAGATTCTTTCATTCAAGTTACCCCTTTGCATTCAGGAGTAACTCAACATTCGACAAATATATGAAAATTGTTACATGTTAGTAAACAATTACTTTTAGTAAAAAGATCACTTATTAAACACATCGCTTTTTAAATCTGAGGTAAATATTAAGAACCTTCAAATATGAAACGGCCAAATATGGGTCATCCTTTGTTCTATAATAGATTCGTCAGGAAAACTTTTATGAAAATGTGATATCTCCTAAGAATTCACTTGGTAAAAATTTTACAATTTATCTTTTTTTTCATAATTTTTAAGTCTCGAAAAAAAATTCATAATAGTCATAAAGAGCCCTTAAACTTCAAATTGAAATAAAAATTCATAGTTGCATACTTATGCTAGTGTCTTAATTTCCACAGAAAATTTTGAAAATTTTCAACATTTTCTTTCGAGTTAACTTTTCTCATATACCTGTTTTTGTTAAGTCATGAAGTACCAATAGTATCGGGATCGCTCTCCATGTATCCTCCAGCGGACGACAATTATGGAGTTGACTCGTGTTCCATCATGTGCATACAAACTACCCCTCCTATAGTAGTCATCGCCATGTGTACAGGAAAAATTTATCACGCTATTCTGTTAAAAGAAGAATTGAACGACGACGAGGATAATGACAGAAAAGTAAGTTCTTTAACTGAGGAGTAAAAGCTTTATTATCGTGATACGAGGTTCAAATGCAAAATTTTAGAAGTTTAATATAATTCAGCAGATAAACCTCAACATAAACATCAAACAGTCAACATAAACTTTCTTAAAGAAAAATATGGTCAACTAAACAATATTCTAAATGCTGCTTACATTGAAATTTAAGGTATAGAGATCTAATTCGAAATTACAAATGTACTTTGTTAAAATTAATTAGTGCACAAGTGTATTTCGCTAAAATTAATCAACGTGCAAGTGTACTTTGTTAAAATCAATGTACATGCATATTTTGTTAAAATTAATCTATATATTTATTTGAAATTAATAAACTTTCAGACTTGGTCACAATGCGGTTCCGCTTACAATCTTCACACACCGGAAGAGGCACTGTACGTCTACGAGTGCGTTGAAATTGAATTGGGTCTGTTTTTCGCGGATAAAGATGAAAAGTACAACTGTCCTATACACCTTCAGTGGGACAAAGGCAATAAGTCTAGGTAAATTTGTGTAATTACTATAAAATACAAAGATAAAATAGAACTAAACATCTTTTGTTCGCCAGATACTTCTGCTCCCATAATGCTGGTATCCACATGGTCACCTTACCAATGGTCTCTCAATTGGAAGAATATATCAACTCTTCAGAAGGTAAAAATCTTTGTGTAGAAAAATATTCTGAAGTTAAATTTACTGTAAATTAAATGAATACTGAAAATAATTAAGGTCTGAGATCTTTGCACATTTAGCTTGATTTTTATGGATTAAACGCAATGATCTTTAATTTATTATTACAAATTAGTAAAATTAAATTCTTTGACTTAACTTCTCAGAAAATTTCATATGTAAAGTTATTCCTTTTTTCTACTTATTTTTACTCAAATATTTTTGCAGATAATGATGCTAGCTGTCTACCATCGCTATTGAACCAGTCCAATTCACAGTATCTGATTTGTAGAAGAACTAAACACACAAAAGCAAATGAAGCCACACCGATTCTCGGATTTGGACTTCTTCAAGAGCCCTGTGTTCTGGTAGCTCTTTTACATACGGGCGACGTTGTCGCTCGTTCTATCATCGACCTTCATTATTTTCCGAAGATTGAACCACCAGAACCCATAGTTAAAAAAAAAGAAAAAGTAAGACCTCTTGTAACACAAAATATTAACAAATCGTTTAAACAAGATATTTAAAAAAAAATACGGAAATACAATTTTATACAATCTATCATATATTTTTAGAAACTCCTAATTGAAATGTTACATCCATCTTGTATTCTAAATAAATAAACTGTATGACGGTTAGGTCAATCAATTGATTTCATAAAATCGAAAATTACTTAGTCAAAATTTTATCACATTAAATTACATATATACAAATTGCAGGTTAACAAAGAAGAATTTGATATGTACATAAAGAAAATGCTGAAACGCGAAACGTCACAGCCACTTATAAAAATTGGATCGGAGTCTCCGCGGGAATGCTTGCAGGTTGGATGAGTAAATAAAGATGTAAATCGCCATTCGAGTTAAAAGCGAATGAAAATATTTATTGTTAATAGCTCTTGTATCACGCGACGGACATCTTCCGCAAAGAACACTTTGCCAAACATAACAATGTAAGAGAAGAGATTGGTAAAAAGGTGCTGGCTTTGAAAGTGATGAAAGCTCATTTACTGAAGGAACTGGACACTTTGATAAAAACGAAGAAAGAATTGCAGCAAAATGCTGAACGTTTGGCTGAAAGTTACGAGGACATTAAAGACGAACAAGAGAAGCTGGCACAGAGGTAAGAATCTTACAACGTCTTTCAATAATCATCATTGTTTACTGTTGGAATCTTTTTATAATCTAAATGAAAGAACTGAACTTTGTCGTTTATACTTTATTTATAAAATGTGATTGTAAATGTCCTTTGTTATAAATATTAAAATAACTGTGTCAAGAAATATTTTTATAATTATCTTAATATCTTTAACATAAAATAATAGAATAAACGTAAACATTAACATACAAAAGTCAATGTCATATTCATTTACTTTCTGATCAAAGTATTTCAAACACTTGTTAGTGAAATGAATTGTATAACATATTTTTATACTAAATAATTATGTACTGAATATACTAAAAATTTATTTATAGAGCAAAAGAAGTGCTGCGATTAGTAAACTACAAAGAACCTTCTATGACTCCTGTAGAAAAAGCGGAGGCTGAAGAATTGAAGAAAATGGAGGTGAAGATAGGAGAAATGAAAATCAGGCTATTAGAATTAAAAAAGAAATCAGAACAGCAGGCTGGATATGTAGAAAATAATGAACATAACGGAAAGAGAAAAGAAATTGTTTTTAGAGGTGACCAAGAGAAAACTATTAAAAACAGCCTTGGACACATGTATGTATTGGTATTATTTAGTAAAAAATATGCACTTAGTACATTTAATGAAGTATACTTTAAAAACGTTACCTTTTACAGGGCAAAAGATATAAAAGAATTAATTGCGGAAGTAAAAAAGCTGGAAGAGGAGGTTAGTATTTAAATTAGATAACGAAGTATTATTAGCAACGTTTGTAAATTTGATTTACTATCAAACTGATTTGCGTACAATAAAAAATGTTTTCATTTGCAAAATAATTTATTATATTAACTATACAATTGTCCTATCGCGTTATTCACTTAAAGAATACTTACAATAACTTCTCCCATTGAATGTACCTTCTTAAATATAAATTCGGTAGTAGCTAAAAGTACATACATATCGATTTTAAAAAAGTACATTGATCATAAATGACTGCACACCAACTATTAAAAATTGTTAAATTAGTTTTTGAATAATGACAATGACATTACTTTAAAATAACTCGATTAAGTATGTACAAGAATAAGAAAAATATCAACATCAATTACAAACTGCGATGACTCCGTTCAATAAAAGTAAGTAAACAAACAACCTTGCTTTGTTATACGCGTATAAAAAAATTAAATTACTGCTTTGAGCATAATTTAATGATCTCATAAAAAAGCCATTACAATTTGTTCACGCGATACTTGTGTTTTATAATCGTTCGTCTTTTACCACACTGTGTCGCTCAAGGCACAAAAATATAATGAGAAACATCGTTCGAATCTTCCATAACTTTCGATTGCAACAATTTAATTTCGAGTCTAAGTTTCTCCTTTTCCATTTCTTGCTTCCGTATTTCATTAGAGTAACAGTTCATCTGTAACTTCAATTTATCCTTCTTAAGTTTTAACATTTCAGTTTCGTGATATAACTTTCCTTTTTCTGCGCGAAGCACGGCTAATTGTTCCTGAAGCAATTGATGACTGGCTTCATCCGATAGTATTACTTCCGGCGCTTCAATGTCCGCTTTTGTAGTCGCTTCTAAATTTGAACGATTCACTTCACTTTCAGGTCCGTTATCAGTGTCTGTCTCTGGATTTGTAGCTTCCTTCATAATCCAAATTCTAGAGTCTGTAGTTTCATCGAAAGCACTCGGTGATTTTACAGGCTGCTGCGACTGTGGTGTAATGGGCCTATTCTGTTGTTTAGGAGAAGTGGGAGCTGCTTTCATCTTTTCTATATCAGTGGCAGGTGTCATAGTTTCGATATCTAGAACTAACATAAAATTACATTAAGTTCCTGTTCCTTGTATAAATAAAAAGAAAGTAACATTTCATTAAAGTCAATTAAAATTACCTCTAGTACTAGGAGATTGACTGCCATCCACTGTATGTGATAAGTGATTGTTACAATAAGTATTGAATTCTCTTTCGTCTACGAAAACGGAACCATCCGCGTTTACAATAGATTCAACGATTACGGATGGATCTCCGTCTTGCATTACTAATTCTCCTACAATTTCACCATTTGCTGCTATAATATCACCATCATTGTTTGTTCTTAGTAGTTCACCTTCAGTTGTGTCAATTTCATCTACTACTTCTTCTTGAGTTAATTGACCACTGTAGGAATCTTCACCATCATTTCCTTCACTTACTTCTAATTCGGTAGGTAGTTCCTAAAAATATAGTTTTTATATTAAAATATATTATTAAATGATGTATTATAATATTAAATATATTACATCTTGACCCCAAGGAGATTCCTGTTCTTTTTTCATCCTTTTTATTGTCTGTGCGATTTCATCTTCAGATTCAGAATGTACCTTCCTATCGTTATCTCTACCTTGCATTTTCTCTATGTCATGAATTTTTTTAAACAACTGATACGCTCTTTCGGGTGTTATATTCCTTTTCTGTTTGTTAGCTGCTGCTATATTAAATAAATCTTTGGATCTGAGTATTTTATTTGTTCGCAGTCGTACATATTCTTTCAACCTCTTACGATCAATGTGTAATTGCATGAGATCCTGTACTTCCTGCTTAATTTCACCACATAATTTCCTTTCTTGTGGAAGGTTTTTAAATAATTCCTAATGTGGGAAAACAAAATTAAATTAAGTGTTCATTTTGTCTAACGTTACTTCATTCTTGATATTTACCTCTGAAATTTCATGATTATGTTCATTATTGACACTAGTTACCTCTAATTTTGTACCATCTTTTGATGCTCTTAACATAATATGAGCAGGACAATTTGTTCTTATTGATCTGAGTAAAAAGATAACGCATATAAAATATTATATTCAGAGATACATGTTACTATATTTATTTCAAAATATTTTATGTAACAATCTATTATTAACAATTTGTAATCTTATGAACTAACTGAGACTGTCTCCTGCCAGCTCCACGTGGTAAAAACTTCTGACCACCATAGATACAAGCATATTTCACAGAATAATACTTTAAACGCTCGCTAATTGGACGAGCAGTTTTCATATGAGCACCGCTAACTGTCCTGCTATCTCTTCTCCAATAGTGAACAAGACTACGCTTTGAAAATTTTTCCAATTTATGTTCCAATTCTTCGTAACTGTCAAACATTTCCCCCAAATGGAAGGATATATCTTCATCTTCCGGAGTATTTACATCCATTATAAAAGTTATAGCTAGTAATCTATTTCATAATTAAATACATATTATTTATTAATTGGGGAAAGTACAAGAATTGTACGAAACCTGCAGTATGTACAAATAGTTTCTGTGTCATCTTGTTGAAACGGAAATGGTAAAATCAAATTTAAATTTAAATTTAGGGTGAATAATGGCAGTGTTTACTGTCCCTAATATTGCATATCCAAACATTTAAATGTAAAATATAGATGAGAATGTGTCGGGATGAATGAAATGACATTGTTGCAATTATGTTTCGCATTGTTATTTAATTTGATTTCTATTAGCCAAATAAATTTCCCGGGAATGAGTAAATTCAAAAGAAAACATTGTTTTTATAGATCTTAAATTTTAGGTTAGATTTCAGTTTGATTGGCGTGGTAGAAGCCAGGACGATGAAACCGTGAACACAGACAGATAGAATTACTCAAGTCAGACGGGATTTTGTGTTCGCTACTAATTTTCCAATCCTTACAGCATAACTTACGTCCTATCATGTTTTTCATGGCGTTCCTTCTTTTTGGTGACGTTTTATTATATCCAAAAGTTGAGAAAATGTGCACCATGATTTTGCGCCATTTCTAAAACAGCACAAATGTGTGAACTACAGCGCAATTGATGTAATTTGTTTTGAATTCATTTTTTATATTCTGAAATAACTGAGTAAAAATTGAAATAATCTATTAGTGTTCACATGAATAAACTCACGAGTTTCTTCATGTATATAATTAATACACCTTATTAATATGTTTTATTCGTGGAGTTAGAAAAAAATAGGAATAACCTGTAAGTCACATGTGATGTACAGTAAGTAAATTTTCATTATTACCAAAATATTATTTATTACGAAATTTACATAAAAATATGTACATTAGCCTTAAAGAATTTTTGAAAAAGTCTTTGGGTATTAACAAATTTCTATTTTATATAAAAGATTATTATTAAATATTTTCGTAGGTTTGGATCATAAAATTACTTTTCTTAGATTATAGAATGTAAATATAAATTGTAATATACTGCTATCACTGTAACCAATCATTGTAATCTCTAATATCAACAGGGGGAATAGGCGGTGGTTCATTTTGAAGGACTGATATCTGTAAAAAAAGAATTGTTTGATTATATATGTAAGCTGTAAAATATATGAAATAAAACATATGTAAAGTACGTTACATGAGTTTTAGAAGAGTCTGTAACCTCAGTTTGTTCTAATGGCTTGTTTGAAGAATTACTTGAATGAGGAGTGTCTACCTCTGCATTGTTAATTTTTAGATCATCACTTTCTGTCGTTTTAGCAGAAACTGATTCTGATTCTCTATTATTCTTTTCATAATCAGTAGACAAAACTTGTAGTGTCGTATTCTAAAATCATTTTTACATTACAAAATAATAAATAAATAATGAAATATAAATAGCTTACCTTTATTGTACTTGCTATTACTGTTTTTATATAATTTGTAGAATATGATTCATCAACAAATTTATCCAATAAAGTATGGTAAATCCTATTCATTATATGTTTAATTTCCTTATGTTTATCACTCTGAAAGACATAATTATCAATAACAATGTGTACAAAGAAATTAGAATTAAGTTGTAGTAGATTAAAGGGAACAAAAAATATTACTTCTTTTGTTTCCGCAGAACCTATAGCTTCAGAAAGTTTGAGCACTTTATTCTCTAATGCAAATGTTTGTTCTTCATGTCTGCTATTAACTTCCTTAGTTTCTTCTAATTCCTTTTTTGCATTTAAAAGTGCAATATTTGTATCACTCAGTGATGTTTCCAATTCTTTAATACTTTTAGATAAGGTTTTATTAGTTAGAGTTAAAGATTCATTTTGATCTTCAAGATTGCTAATATATTCTGCATTAACAATTATACATTAATACATACATTAAAATGTGTTTAGCTATAATTAATATAGAACATATAAAATTAATATTACCTTTTGATTCCTTTAATTCTACTTCTAATGCACTCACTCTATCTTTAATCTCATTCAATTGTGCAAAATTATCAGTAGTTATATTATTGGTATTTGTTCGTAATTGTTCGTTGTTTTCTTCAGTTTGAGATGCAGTTGTAGTTAGTAACATTTTCAAAGGAGCCAAGTCTGCTCTGTCTTTTACAGGAGATGTAGCATTTTGAAGTTCGAGGACATGAAACTGTATATAATACATAATGGTACTGTTTTAAATGATATATGATTTTCTCAGTATGTAACTACCTTATCAAGTAATTTCTGCACATTATCACCTATTTTAGACATTCCCATCCTGAGCTCTGCATTTGTCATTCTAGTCTCTGATAACAACATGTTTAAACCTGGATCAATCATTGTTGATACGGTCGGAGTTACAATTTGCGGTTGTAACGAATACAGCTGACCATCCACAGTGACGAAATTCGGCTATAGTGCAATTTTAACAAATAATAAGTTTCAAACATAATTACAGTGAAACCTATATTTATCGTTTTTGAAAGGACTTACTGAATTATTCAAAACATATGGGAAAATAATTATTTTCGGAACGTAAGTCGAGATTTCACTATCAATACACAATACATTTTTTAATGTATTTAAATTTATTTACCTGCATTTTTGTAGGAGACCACTGAGGTGTTAGTGTGGATGTAACAAATGGCTTACAAGCAGCATTTGTTGCAGATATATCACTTTTAGGTTTCAACACCTTGTGTACATTTTTTGATATTTCTTCTTTAGGTTCTTGTGTGAAACGTTTCTTCTGGTGTTCTCCTTCTGATAATTCTGTCTATAATACAGATAATTATATATTCTTGAACTTTTTTGAATTCTATGAAGAAAATTTACCTTCCTTTGGTGAAGTGTTTTGCGTGGCACATCATCCTACATGTATACAAAATTCATTATTCTTTTTAATGAAATCATGACATAATATCTTGTTTATTTGCATTAATACCTCGGTATCTTCAGAATCGGTAGTAGTAGATGTAGGAAGTTTTGGTACAAACATTGACTGTCCCATTTTTGCCATACGTGATATTATAGAGGCTTTACCACTTGTAACCTTATGTGAATTAGTAGATTCCTGTTGTTTTTGTATGTCTATTATTTCTATTTCTAATATAATATCCTTATCTTTAGGAAAGCCAGGTCCTAAACTGATCTATAAAGCAATTATATTTAATATTTTTATGCATATGTTACATAATTAAACGTGTTAAGATTGCATATAAACCTGTTTACTAGGAGGCAAAAATAGAATTCTTTTTAGTCCTTTACTACTTCCTAACAATGTTTTCTCCCAATTGTCATCTGTAGATATTTCTACCATCATTGTTTGAGATGTAATAATATTACTTTTAAAGGGTTGTATTATTTCTGTGCTGATAAAATATTTTATAGATACATTGTCTCCTTCTTTAGCAATTACATCTTTACTAATTGGTGATAGGTCTTGATAGAGAACATTTTCTATTTTTCCATTTTTCGAAAAATACCGAGCTAATGCTATTTCTCTTGCAAATTCAATGCAAACATCACTGCTTTCAAATAAAATTGACCAATTTTCCTTATTACTATCATAATAACTTGAGTAGTTGTTTGGTTGTATTACATATAAGAAATCCTGTGTCACTGTAACTGTTGATATGTGTTCTTGTTTGCTTTTGTATAAAATAACTTGATAAACTTTTGTTGCTGCATTTCCTGTAAGGGCCATACCCATTTTGCCAATTGATACATAAATCCCATTTTGTCTGAAAACAGTATTAACCTTTATATGCAAATAAGAACAATCCAAAGTAATAAGTCAAGTAGTGAAACTTACAACTTAAATGCATGTATAGCTTTAGCTATAATGACTTCTGGTTTATTTTGAACAGTTTGAGTTGTAGAACGAGATATATTTGGTTTCTTAGAAACTTGCTGTTTTGATGAGGAACCATCTAATGTTTTAATTTGCATTCCAAAAATAGCAGCTAAATTGGATCTAAACAGTATTTATAAATTTAAATCAGTGTTTGCCTTGAAATTATTTTAACTAAAACAGAACCATAAAAATTTATAAGTAATTTTATAAACAAAAAATATTATTTTTGACATTAGAAATATAGTAATTATGTAGTACATATACATGTTTGATGTTAACAATATAACCTCTATATTATTTTAATAAACTTTTGTGTTTATTACCTATGATTTAAATAAATGTAGAATATTTTTTGTCATTAATAACCCTATAAATACTAAAAATTAATAATTTATTAAGCAAACATACCCTGCTGATGGTAGAAAGTCAATTTCGTCATCATCTCGTAATATTTTATCAAGATCCGGCAATTGGTTTCCTGAATTCATAATTATGGATGAACTGTTTGCAACAAAAGGGTTCAATTGACAGTAAAACAACAAGGAAAGCATCAGACAATGCTGCTTGAATATAGCAAATGATATCAGTGACTACAATGTAGTAAATGATAACACTAAAGTAATAAAATTACCAATAGATGGCGCAGGAATTTTTTAAATTTGTGATACATATGCAAATATTTATTATATACGTGCATATGTGATATGTATTATTATGTAATGTTGCCTAAAATATAATTTAAATGCAAATACTTTCTTAAAACATGTTTACTACAGTCGTTTATTTTTACAACATATATATAATATATACATTTCAATTAACAGAAAGTATATACAAGACATAGTTTTATATACCGATGCTGAAGCTATTAAACATCGATTATAAATTATAAATAAAAAATTATATACAAAAAATTATTTCCTTCTTTTTAATTCCATGTTAGTAAATTTCACTACACTACTGAAATAAAAGATAGAGATGCACTGAATGAATTTGTTTTACTTTTCATCGTTTATAAAAAGCATTCTTTAATTTATTCAAATGTGTTTAGAATATAAATTAAAATATCTGATGTTTATTACTACTGCAATAACAGTTAAATGTAATTAATATCAACTGATTTATTTATTATGACTATTTATAATTGTACACTTTATTGCTACACAATTATTTAGCTGGTTCAAAGGAATAATGAACTCCATTTCTTGGATACTGCTTTTCCATCTAAAACAGGAAATTGATTTTTCAATTATTGCACATAAAAATTACAGAAAAAAAAGTGGAATACTTACTCTTGGAAAAGATGTGTGTGAAGAAAACTTGTATGCAAGGTAAAATACACCTATTGTAGCTATAAAGATAAGAGCTCCTGTAGTATCACTAACCAATTGTCTCACACCATAATCATAACGATCTTCGCCCATCATATCTTGTTCTGGATGTATCTATAATAATATTTAATGTAAACATATTGAACAACATTATATTATATTGAAATAAATGAATCTTCAACAATATTAAATACTCACAGGATCTCCATAATTTCTTCTTATAACAGGATAATCCCAAGGGTAATAAGGATCTCTAGCTACAACACCTATCCATGGTAACTGTGGATAATCTCCAAGGTATCTATGATCATTGGGATATGGTTCATATTCATATGGATGTAATCCATATTTTGCTGCAGATTTACGTCTCTCTTCTTCCGTTTCAGGATAATCATCTGGCATATGGGGCCTCATTCCAACAGCTGAAACAGCAAGTAAATATTTAATAAATCTGTTTCATTGTAATTAATCTTGCTTTGCTAATGAATTTGTTTAATTCATTTGCTAATGGTATTCATTTCAAACTTCACGAAAATAGATGAATTTCAAATTCATTTCAAATAGATAATAAAATCTTAAATATGAAAGAGAATAAAACAACAGTTTTTGCATTATAAAATATAAGGAACTATTACAATAACTTTTGAATACAAGTAATAAGTTTTCATTAAGTTAAATAGTGACTACATTTATTTTGAATTATACATTTGTTTGCAGCTATCGATATTCATTACATCTGCATTATATCAATATGTCATTCATGCTTCTGACAAATATGTCCTTGATATCAACATGTCATATAATTGTAATAACAAAATCATATTTAATTACAATTATGTAATAAATAATTTAACCTCTCAGAGGATAATGATAAATATCATATAAAGAACATTCTTATACAAATAAATTACTCACGTTTCCAAAAATCTAAAAATGTTTGAAAATCCTTATTGCCTCTGGTAATCTGAATAAGAGGAACATTGTTCCTAAGTAAAGTATTTGATAATATTCCGATTTTTCTTACGACAGCCATGTTTGAAAATCATTACATTTGAACTCCGTGAAGTACAACCATAGAGTTCATCCCTACTCTTTGATAAGGATTTTTGTCGTATGTAGCGCTAACTGGCTGTAGAAGATGGATACTATTAAAAGTACAGTTTCGGAAACGTGTAATTCACCATATTTGCTGGAAAGATGGCGCTATTCGATTAATCTGCGTTTAACGCACGACTCTCGGAAGTTCGAACAGTGCATTTAGCGAGCCCTTATCCTCAGTCCACTTTCGTAAAGGAAAATGTGGAATAAATAAAATCATAATTAACCGTAAATCGTAGCTATTAGCTCGATATCATTTTCTAAAATTCATTTTGTGAAAAATATTTAGAAAATGATATCGATTACTAGGTCACACCACGTGCAGGTTGCTACAACAGTGACCCACCCTAACTCCAAATCCCTACCACCCGCCATTTGCAACTTCATTTATCGAAAGGATAAATGAGTTCTGACTCTACTTAGTCCGTTGGCTCTAATTTAATACGCATTCATGGGATCCCACGCTCACACTCTTATTAACACACTTATTCTAAACGCCGCACGCGTACCTCTCATTCTAAGATTGCACTCGTATGATCTATAACGACGGAAAAAAAGCAAGGGGAAGAAAAGAAAGTTAGAAGAACTTTCTACTAAAAGGTAGATCAGTATTTTTCGCCAAGTGAACCTCGCCTTTATGGGTCAAAGGGTAGTCGCATAGTGGCTTACGTGAATCACGAGACAGAGATGAACCGAAAATACTGGCAAGAACGAGTAACACATCTGCGGAGGGTTTCCCATTTCTCCCCGTTTACGTTTGAAGTAAGGCTGACCACTGAGAGGATACCCACGCCGTGAGGCGGCAGATCGAGATGGTTTATCAATCGATCGGCCCCGCAGAGATGTGTTTCTGGCGCTACACCAGCACTTGCAGCTCACCTCTGCCGCGTGTTCACAACGCTATGAATCCCCAATGATCCACTTGGGTTCGGAACGATTAACAAAAAATAGCTGGGTATACTACAATCTAACGCACACAAAGTTTGAGAGTTGTGAAGATGAGTGCAAGTTAGAATGAGAAGCACTTACAGGAACCCACCCGTCCGCCTACGAGCATACAACTTAAAACTAACGGATGCATCCCTCGATAATCCCTCGATGATCGATGTCTTCAATCTTCGCGGATACGCATTTCACACACTCATTCATACTACAATGTATTACAATAGACGCAACTTAAAATTAACTTAAAATTACTTAAAATTAGCGCATTAGTTGATGAAATCTCTCGAAGGAAGTCTTCAATGATGATCTATTCATTATTACCTATAAAATAATTGGGTGTAACAATAAAAAGAGGAAACAGAGAAGCATTCATATTTTCGGAATAAAAGAGAAATAAAACTGGAGTCGACTCGATAAAAATAGGCAAATAAAAATACAATGTACTTGGGAAATATTCAATTACTTAAAATCAAAACCTGTAACATAAAAATGTATTTAAGACATATATGAAACATTAAAAACTACTTACATAAAATAGAAACCTGTAACATACAAAAATAATTAAGGCACATATGAATAATTCACTTACTTGTTTAAAATAAAATTCTGAAACATACGAAAATAATTAAGATATATATGAAACATTAAAAATTACTTACTTAAAATAAAAACCTGAAACAGACAAATGTAATTAGACACATATGAAACATTAAATTACTTACTTGAAATAAAAACCTGAAACAGATAAATGAAATTAAGATATGAAATTGAAGGAGAATGAACGAAATCTTTTTTGATTCGAAAGGCAACTCTTGGAATATGGAAATCATTTGAGTTTGGAAAAATCAAAATCGGAAATAAAATTACAACAAGATTCAGAAAGCTCAAACCTGAAGTAAAATCACAATAACATTCTGAAAACTACGAAACTTGAAATAAAATTACGATGAGGTCTGAAACCCCAATACCTGAAATAAAATTACGATAACATTCTGAAATCTACAAAAGTCGAAATAAAATTACGATGAAGTTTGAAATCTCAAAACCTGAAATAAATTCACGATAAAATTCTGGAAACTACGAAACATGAAATAAAATTACGATGATGTGTGAAACCTCAAAACCTGAAATAAAATCACTATAACATTCAGAAAACTTGAAACTTTTTATTTCAAAGAAACTTGAAATAAAATTACGATGAGGTTTGAAACCTTAAAACTTGAAATAAAATTCTTAAGAAATCCGAAAAGTTCGAACTCCAACTAAAATCATATAAAATAATTTTAAGAAAAAAAATACGCCGACTTCGAAATGCACTAAAAAGTATAAAATAATTTCTATTTCCTAATGAAGTAATTTGTATTTCATTCAATCATACAATTACGTAACAGATATGAATGAAACCTATTTACTCGTTAGGTAGCATATTAAATGCATTTCAACCTTTTCGGAGGCGAAAATACTGAGGTATTCTTAATTTTGCGCCGCCTCCGAAAAGGTTGAAATGCATTTAATATGCTACCTAACGAGTAAATAGGTTTCATTCATATCTGTTACGTAATTGTATGATTGAATGAAATACAAATTACTTCATTAGGAAATAGAAATTATTTTATACTTTTTAGTGCATTTCGAAGTCGGCGTATTTTTTTTCTTAAAAGTATTTTATTTCACGCTTTTTAGTGGAATGGGGAGAATTGTATAGGATACTGTGAGACATTTCTTACATAACAATACCAAAGAATAGGATTTTGCAATAACAATAGTTATTATACATGTAAATATTATAATACATTACATTCATATTAATACTAGAATTTATGAACGATTTTGGTTAACAATAAAAACATATAATATGTATCCGAAATTCAAGAAAATGTAAGTGTCCACATACTTATGAGCGGTAGTGTATGTCAGAACTTAAGTAATTATTTTGTAGAATATGGTAGAACGTTTGCATAAATATAACGGAATACATAGGTAATTACATTGTAAAACACATTAAAACACCAGTAACAGTTTGTCAAAATACTTAAATAACCGTTAACAAAACATTTAAATAACCGTTACATAGAGTATACTAAAACACTTAAGTAACTGTTCCATAAAGTACACTAAAACACTAGTAAATGTATGTAAAATCATTTAAATAACCGTTCCATAAATTACACTAAAACATTAGTGACAGTTTACCAAAACACTTAAATAACCGTTCCATAAAACACTAAAACACTAGTAAATGCTTGCAAAAACATTTAAATAACCACTCCAAAAAATATACTAAGTCACCAAAAAAGTGTTGAAACAGTTAAACGACCACACCATAAAACACACTACTGTATCCCTACACACTAGTAAGCCCGTAGGTATATGGGAAACCACACCAAAAAACACGTTAATACTCCTCCGTATGTACACTAAAAACTTGATAAAACACACACTTGTACTAATACACTAGGTAACACAGGAATGAACACACGATCGGTTAATTAACACTTTGACTCGTACCGGTACAAGATGTCACGGTCGATTCGAACACTTCGGCAGTTTGAACAATACTGAGCACCGGTGATACTTATCAAGGTGAGAGTAATAGGCGAACCGCGAACCAATCAGGTATCACGTCAGTGCATCAATACCAGGTACCTTGAACAATGCTAAACACCTATGACCTGTCAAATTATCAATGATAGGTGATCCGTGGACCAATCAGCTATCATATAATCCACCAATATCGTGCAATGACATCATTGATACCTATATTTGTAATATCGACATTTCTTATTTAAACTTTTAATTTTTTATTTGTTTATTTAACAAATTATTATTATAACTATTAAAATTTAGCATTTTTATTAACTTTTATGCGTGCATTGGTTATAAAATTTTGTTTTATTACATTTTTATATGATATCAAAAGATAAATATAAATTATATATTTTTTCTAATTTTTTAAATGTTAGTTAAGTTATTATTGTATGTACTGAAATTCATTTTTCTTTTTCAACTTTCACCAGTTTCGCTATTTTTTTTTATATGTACATAAACATGTTCCATGTAGTGTGTTCGTGTTTTAAATCGGTTCCAATCGATATGGCAGTTTTGGAATTCTTCCTTACCTAAGGTGCAATTTTGGTACAAAATCAACTGTGTTGGTAACATAGTAATTTTGACCGTTCTTTGGGAAACCGTTATGCTCTAAATCAGGGGTCGGCAACCTGCGGCCTTTTGCAACTTTTTGTGCGGCCCGTCAAAGCACCAATATAATTTTAGGAAAAATCAACAAACTTAGAGCGTGAGCGTGCCGAAATGTGGCCAGTGACAAAAAAGCGCGCTAACAGAAGCATATTGGGAAACCTATTTTACTGCGCAAGTTTAGTCCCCACTCCCCAGCGAATACGACGGTTCGCTTAACAAGTGTAGCATTCTTTCATTTCGTCAGTTTGCTACTGTATGTTCATATGTGCATTTTGCACATAAACACGTTCATATTGACAACCGTATGACGTTTCACTACAATAGGTAATGAGAAATACATGTTATTTTTAATTTATTTATACTCGTATATGATATAAAAGCAATATTTAAGTTACATTTGAATGTGTGGCCCGCATAAAAAATTTTATTTTGAAAATGGCCCGCCATCCGAAAAAGGTTGCCGATCCCTGCTCTAAATCATGTCCAATTCTTCAAACAAGCTCCTTTTAAAGAAAGGGAACATCTGTAAAAGCGATTTTTAGCGACTCGAAAAAAATTTGTTTACCATTTTTCTATCATTTCCTACCTTATTGACGATCAACTATTCTGAAAATGATGCAGCGAATTAAACAAAATTTTGAAAATAGAAGTTTTTTAATATTTTTGTTTTGCATGTGCATATACATATAATTCGTGTAGTTTTATTGAATACTGTTAATATATATATTATCGGCGTAAAAATGTTGCTTGCAATATATTCTGTGGGTCAGAAGGTGCGCATTACCTGTTCAGAACAGTTCACACACTATACTGTGTCTTGTCGATAATATAGGAAATAACAATGGAGTGCTAAAAATTTCGAGTTACTTAAAACCATTCTCACAGATATTTCCTTTCGCAAAATGAAGTTTACAAAATTTGGTCGATATTGGAGCATGACGGTTTTCCGAAGTTTCGCCCAATAATAATATACATATAACAAGAATTGTTGATTTTACATGAAAACAATTTCTGTTTCGTTAGTTTCAGCGAACACCACAAAATGGCGCTAGCAGTGCTGTTTCTAAACTGCGTATCGATATGAAATTAAGAACTGTAAAAAAAAGTAACAAAGTATTTTTATATTATTAAATAAACTATTTTTTAATATTTAAGTTACATTTGAATGTGTGGCCCGCATAAAAAATTTTATTTTGAAAATGGCCCGCCATCCGAAAAAGGTTGCCGATCCCTGCTCTAAATCATGTCCAATTCTTCAAACAAGCTCCTTTTAAAGAAAGGGAACATCTGTAAAAGCGATTTTTAGCGACTCGAAAAAAATTTGTTTACCATTTTTCTATCATTTCCTACCTTATTGACGATCAACTATTCTGAAAATGATGCAGCGAATTAAACAAAATTTTGAAAATAGAAGTTTTTTAATATTTTTGTTTTGCATGTGCATATACATATAATTCGTGTAGTTTTATTGAATACTGTTAATATATATATTATCGGCGTAAAAATGTTGCTTGCAATATATTCTGTGGGTCAGAAGGTGCGCATTACCTGTTCAGAACAGTTCACACACTATACTGTGTCTTGTCGATAATATAGGAAATAACAATGGAGTGCTAAAAATTTCGAGTTACTTAAAACCATTCTCACAGATATTTCCTTTCGCAAAATGAAGTTTACAAAATTTGGTCGATATTGGAGCATGACGGTTTTCCGAAGTTTCGCCCAATAATAATATACATATAACAAGAATTGTTGATTTTACATGAAAACAATTTCTGTTTCGTTAGTTTCAGCGAACACCACAAAATGGCGCTAGCAGTGCTGTTTCTAAACTGCGTATCGATATGAAATTAAGAACTGTAAAAAAAAGTAACAAAGTATTTTTATATTATTAAATAAACTATTTTTTAATAAAAGAAATTCTCTTTTAAAATATCTAATTTCATTATTTTAAAATACATCTACACGTGATTACTTGCATCGTTTGAAGATTCTCGTTGTACATAGTCATGAAATTTTATAATTCAAATTATATTGAAACAAAAAGTGAAGAAATAACTAATTTATTGGAACAAATACTTACTATGTTTCTGCGTACAATTTCATATACCTGAATATCTTCCATTGTATAGAAAAGAAACTATACCTTTTTCATGCTGCATGGGTGAAAATATTAGACAAAAATTTTAATGTACAATTATATAAAAATGTTTTGGAATAACAAGATTATCCCATTTTAAATACAGCATTTACTAATATGTAAAAACTTAAAAATTATTTCCTACTGTGCTGTATAAAATTAAATAGATAATAAACAAATAAATTTATCTGCTTAGTATATACATCATTATTAATTGATACATTTGTATTAAACTAACAATAAATTAGTGTTATTTAAAAAAAAAATGTTTGTAAGTTATAAAGACGTTCGGTTTAATACAAAAATCAACATAAAGTTACTATTATTATTCATAATAACAAAAAATGAAAGAAACTAAAAGGAATAAACATTTAATACTCTTTACAATTTGTATCAAGTTTTAAATGTTGCACTTTTTAATTAGTAACTGCTAGAAAATTCTGAGAGGAAAAATACGACAAAAAATGTCAAATAATTTGAGTTTACAATTGACAAAAACCTCACACAGGATTGAAATCATCAATTTTAATTAGCCCATTTTATGAATTTAACATGAACATTATTATCAAATGTCTGAGCGGTTGTCTTAACTATGTAATATTTACATAAATATTCAGTATTATATTATAAAGAATTAAAAGTACATGGGTCCCATACTCCAAATAAACGCAAAGTTACATCTATAACAGTATCTCATAATTCTGTAATAACAATAAGTATTAAATAAGATACTAGAACTTACTTATCATTATAAGATAATCTCAAATAATTGTAGACCCGTCAATCTTAAAACTTTTATAAAAATTTTATAAAAGTATATAAGTATACGTAAGATTCAACAGCTCAGGCTGTTCCCATGTTATATTCATAAAATAAAATTAGATTAAATTGACGCACATATTGCAATGGGCCATCTTAGTGAAATATTTGTATCTCCATCCTCCTTTCTATTATATGGGGTTCACTAATATTTTTCTAAAGTTCACAACGCAAGGGTTTCGATGAAAGCTCAATTCACGAATTACGTGTATGTATATATATATGTATATCACAAATGATGACAACACTTTATTGTTACTCTAATTTAACGTGTCAGTATCATTTCGCGAAGGGCAGGTAGAAAAAGCGAAAAAAGTTGACTAAAGCAAGTGCGACGAAATTTACGAAAAGCAGCTACGACATTACTTTTATTACGTCATCCTACGTATAAACACCGAACAATCATAATCCGTTCGGTACGCGTGTTTTTTTTTTTCGTTTCCACTGCTCAATTACAATTATATATTTGTGTGTGTCTATATATACATATACATATATACACAATTACGTGTATACATAGATATATACATAATTGTGCATATATACATATTATGTTTTGTGTATGTATTCGTGTATGTATATGTTCATATATATTTATACGAATTATAAATATATATATGCGTGTGTATGCGTGTCCGTGTATACGTATATTAAGCTTCTCTCCCTCTCTCTCTCTCACTTTCTCTCTCTCTCGCTCTCTCTCTCGCTCTCTCTATTATAAATGTAAAATACTGACATGCGTGTACTGCGGAGTCGTGACTTAAATCGTACGCATTGCTCGTCCACAGAAAAACTTGCGAGTGCCATGCAACCCTCGCGAGCGAAATCGAGGAGCACGTCGGTCATTTGAGAAAGAAGGAAAGCCTGGTTCTGCTTCGCGCGATCTCGCCACGCTCCGATTCCAAAGTACCTTTTTCTTTTGTACAAGAGTGCTATAATAATTTTGTCGGGAGAAGAAAACAAAGAACGGAACAGACGGAGGAACGACTTTGCCCAAACGGATGAATTTCCATAAGTTTTAAACCCGGCCAACAACACACACACACAGGGAGTTCCCCAAAAGAACAGAACGCCCAAGTATCGTGATTGCTACAAGGTTTTATTATTAATGGATTGAAAAGAAGAAAAAAAATGGCAAATAACGATGCACGAACGATGACGAAACACACAGGTAATACAGCATAACGATGTCACACGGCTCCAATGAGAAGTTCGTTTTTATTTGTTCATCAAAATAATTTAGTACCACATTGAGTCGAATGGTATCTGGCTCTGTTGGGGAAGTTGGGTAGAGGGAAAAGTGGCGCATATTAATAGACGAAGAAGAAAAATGGTTAGGAAAAATTGGCCTTAATTAAGCAATTATTATACGAGATCTTGTCGAAATATGCCTTGCGTAAATGTGTGTACCGACCAATCGTTCTTTTGCGGCTTGATTCTATTATTCCCTTTTTTCTGGTTTTCTTGTCTACGTCTGCACTACCGGCTAATAGTAGTTTAGAGCTAAATATACAACTAGTACCTCACATGTCTCAGGACCCCACGCAACTAATTATGCGCCCTTCAAATACTTCTGTACGAATGCACATTAGTATATATTTTTTTGCATTTTCACAAATCCGCACGCTTCACTCGGCCGTCCCTCGTTCTTCTAGTATTATCGTTAATAATGCACGTTGTTTGGACGCCATGCACTGTCGAAGTCCTACTTCTCTTCGTTTTTATTTTTTCATCGGTTCTATCTATTCTGATCAGTAGTTTCTTCTGGGTTGCGTTCGTCTCTGGCTGATCTTGTTAGATGTTCGCTTGTTCGACATTTTAGGGAACGATTCAAATGGTTCTTCGACGTTAATAGTACACACATACACTGACATACGCAGCATGTAACTTGAAATATAGCTTAAACGTTCCAAACGGACGCTCCTCGATTCTCACTCTAATGTCCTGTTTCTTTATACCGTCGTAGAGCGCTAATCTGCCTGCCCGTTTGCCACGTTCGTTTGCTTTACATCGTGTTTTGCTTTGTACCAGGAACATGCTACGCACTCGATCAATGTTGAATAAATTATTGACGACGATCAATACATTATAATTGCTAACATATCGAATTTTCCTCTCTTACGTATGTGTGTATACGAGTAGATACGCGCGTCCGTGTCATACGTATCGGTGTCATTTTCCGATTTTACATTGTCAAGAACGTTCAAAGAGAGGTCAGCGTAGCAAACGAGAATGAGTGACCGTGACATTCTGGAGATACGGCACAGTCGAAATTCTCTGGTCACCGTCGGCGGTTCGAGGAGGAGGACGACACATTTGAATGCACTGCGTTCATTCGATTCATTCCATTACGCGTTTCGCTGCGAAACATTTTAGATGTATAGTTAACCGTTTCTAGAAAGCAAGTGTTCTTGCGACACAATTTTGAGATGCTCGAAACAATTTTTTTTCCTTTTTATCTACCGCCGACAAAATTATGGCAATGTCCTCCTCGCGAGAAAGAGCTAACCTCAACCGACTCTCCTCGAATCGTGCAGTTCGTTACCGTAAAACGTATATGTAATATTAATAATTACTAATTGTATTTTATTATAAATTAATTAAAGAGCTCTTAATCGTACGTATTTATGTGTGTATAATAATATTAATATTAATAATAGTAGTATGTACGATAACATTTTTGTAGCATCTTACTCCCTCGGCCGTTTCCATCGAATTCGACGCGCATCGTTCGCCTTTTTTTCACAATCTCTCTTTCTCGACGAAGGTTCAAAGAAACCCTGATGTTTTGGTGACTAGCGGCACTCCCAAATTTTCACCGTTTGATCAACACTACCGGTGACCACATAAGGATGGCTTTTGTGAAAATCTGCAAGAGTAAAATTACTTTAATACTAATTATCAACAAATATAACAGAAACTTAGAGGCAGTAATCAGTCCTGCTGGGAATTTTTAGATTAAATTGCATGTACAGGGTGCTCTAAAAATAACTGAAGAAGTCCTGAAGAAGATATAACTGGGACAACAATATTGCAATAAGCGTAATATTAGATAATAAATAAGATAATGTTCGTATGTTCCATCCCACTAATATATCTTTATAAATTATAATCCATCTATGAGGCAGAACGATATAATCTTTAGTTCCTAAAGAAATATTAATATCTTTTTATTATTAAATGTTCTATACAAAACTTAAACATTTTGTAAAACTTGAATAAATTGTTAACTGACAAAAGTTGCAAAGTCTAAAAGCAAGTGTGTTGATATATCTTAACTTTTCATTATTTTTGAGGCAACCTGTATCTATTTAACTAATTTTTCGATTCTACTTACCGACGGAAGTGCAAAAATGAACGTGCGCCTCGAGGGTTTTCATTGCTCGTTTATTGCGTGTGTCCCAGACTCGCAGGGTCTTATCGTCAGACGCACTGACGATAAACTTGCCACCGGGGTGGAAGACGATGCCACGTACCCAATTATCGTGTCCTAATAAAGTAAAGAGACAAACGCCGGCACCGACATCCCAAACGCGGATTACCTTGTCCCGCGAACCAGATGCAAGGAAAGGTCCTTCATGGGCACCTTTATTGTCTGCCCCTGCTGCAGCATTGATTGATGCTCTTGCACTATCCGGTGCCCATGTGATACACTCCACAACGTGATCGTGATCTCTAAGTTCCACCTACAAATAAAAGTATTTTAGTACATTTCCCAACACTTACATACATTTATAATGTAGATAAATGGATAAGTAATAGTAGACTGTGCGAGTATTTAGAAAATGTAAGCTTTGGAATGTTTTATTCTATATTCATATAACAAGTACCTTTGTTTCTTTTGTTGCTACGTGCCATACTCGTACTGTTTGATCGTTCGAGCAGCTAGCAATTAATTCTCCACAGGGGCTAACCCTGGCCATTCGTACCCATTCTCTGTGCCCTGTCAATGTTTTAACACAATAACCTGTCGCCACTTCCCATATTTTGATGGTTTTATCCCTAGAGGCGCTCACTACGAAATCCCCTTGTGGCACAAATGCGACAGAGCTCACACTGTGATCATGCCCGTGCATGGTTTTCACACAGGCGAAAGACTGGTGAAAGTCCCACAACTTAATAGACATATCTGCACTGCAAGAGACTAACAGTTTTCCGGAGACGTCAAATGAAACGTCCTGTACACTGTCAGTGTGTCCTTTCAATGTTCTTTCAAATTCGCCGCTTTCGAAGTCCCATACCTGGATGACACGATCATGAATAAGAAAACCAGTTTCAACAAAAACTAGTAGAGTTGACTCTTAGTAACAAACGGGGAAAGTTGAAAGTAACTCACTACTTTTTCAAAACCAGTGTGTGAAATAGTGTATAGAATAAACTTTAAACAGGGAGCAGAAAGCAATATTGACATTTAAATATTCATGAAGAAAAACAATACTGCATCATTTAACATTCAACTATTAGTAACCTTAACTTTTTATATTCACTACTTATTTGTAATGCGATAATGCTTCTAACAACAAACTTTCATGATTCCATAAGTTTATCAGAATAAACTGGTATTCCAATAGTAACAATGTAATTATAACTACTGGCTTGCCAATAATGTCCAACTTTAAGGTTGCTTATCATTTTACCTTAATGGTGGCATCTTCACTGGCAGATACTATAAGACTAAACACTGGGTGGAAAATAACTCTGTTTATGGGAGCTCTGTGTCCAGTAAGGCTAAATTTTTCAGGTGGCCTTGGTATCCATTCAGATGGTGATCTCTTGCTACGTGTTGGTGCCCCTTCGATGAATTCTTTCTCTGCTTCTGAGAGTTTGGATTCCAATTCCATTACCTACAATATAAAAAATATATATCAACACTGCAACTCTACCATACTATATTCATTTTTCACTTACAGTAATGATGAATGTTTTGCCTCATATACATATACTTTGATATTGCAAATAAAGGCATTATTAGTCAGTACACTACAAATCATTTTCAAAGTATTGAGGCGATTTGATTTTTCAAAGTTTGGAGCATGCTATGAATCTCGTAAATGGAAGTTCAACTAATTTTAATAAATGTGATTAATAAATAAATTAATAAAAATGAAGAAAATATAATTATAGGCTTTATTATCAATATGTTAATGAATATGTAAGATATTTATATACACCTTCCACATTTATCAAAATTAAGAAGATAGCATGCTGTATCAATGTGGCAAGGCAATATTTTTATCTGTATAAACACATAACTCTAAATTCGCTAATCCTCTTACCTTCTTCTGCAAGCGTATTACCGATGTCCATTTCTTCTCTAGAAGGCCTCCGTATTTTCTTTCCACTTCCCCAGGCATATCGGCTTCCTTCTTGAACGCCTCGAGTGCATCTTGATAGCCGTTAGTGCTGAGATAGTCCGCGATCGCCTTATTTCTGAAAGAATGGCATAACTATACACTCAAACTTTTGGCAAGCAACTACCTACTTCGTTGTATATGACCTCGCAATCGAAAGGTTCGTTTAATCAACACGAATAATTCATCAATAATTGTCTTGCAGCAATCGACGACTCAAAGTGATTCGTCTTGCATCACCTTGATACTGTTACATTAATGCAGGCATTCCAAGTACCTACATTTTGTTACCATTCTTACAAATACTTGTTATATTTAAAATATGATACACTTAAAGATCTCTTTCGAGGTACTTGTAATAACATTATAAAATAATACAATTTCTCAGATTTACTAAACTGTTGTAAGAAAATGTAACATCCAATAATGTAATTATATTACATGCAAAACATTAACATAAATTTCTCATAGATATACTATCGCTTTGAATATAAAACACTTCTAGGATTAAGTCCAATTGCCTAAAATCTATATTTTTACCTGCATTTAACATTACATACCAGGAGTTTTTAATACAATCATAATATCATTAAAAGTTTAATTTCATAGAACTTCATGGCCTCAATAAAGTTAAATGTACATTCTATATTCAACTATTCTAAATTTCAATCTATCACTGGTCTAGCTGGACTGTTTTCCAGTAATAGATGAATTGTTACGCACATTCAAATCTATTGTTAACAATATAAACTGTGAAAACATGGTAAAATAAAATATTGACGTTTTATAGAGATATAGTTTGCTAGTCTCATTTCACAGAACCTCGTTTTCCGAACTTTCTTCATCGCACCAACGTGTGAAACAAGTTGAGAATTTCTTTGCACTTCCTTGACTCTATTCTTTCTACAAGACAATGTTCCGCAAAACACTTAACACATTCTCTACACACAAATACATCAAGAAAGTACTGACACACCTATATATCATTGTGATAATTGAGCTTAAAAATTTCCTATTATATGAAACACTTCCTGCGACATTTCAAACAGTTTAACAGTATGCAGTACTAAAGTTATCATGAAGCATACACACATTTCTCATGGCATTTACACTTTGCCGCAGTGTTGATGACATACTTTTATTATGTTATATGTATTATAATTATATAATGTATTGTAATATAATCATAATATTATTAAAACAACTGCAAATGATATTTGCTGATTACATTACTATAATCATTTTTCAGAAATCTTATTAATCATATTATTTAATACGATCAATGAATTTAAGAATGATGTGTATGCACCTGACAAGATATATTATCAAGAAATACACTTTTAACAGGAATATCAAAATATTACATATAAACAAAACACAAAAGCTATTCGTTACCTATATTACTACAACAATATCTTTAAAAATCTTAAGTTATGTTATTTGACGTAATTAGAGAATTGAGAAATTTACACATCCTATAAGCTAGGATATTTGCTTTTGCTAAGAGTATTATTTCCAATAATCTTAGCAAATACATTGTTTGATATTATTAAAGAACCACAGAATTACATACACATATATTACAAAGCTGGAAAATATATTCACTGGGAATATTAAAACATTAGATTTAAAAGGAACACGAGTGTCATTTACTCATCACATTCCTATAGAAATACCTTAACAAATTTGATTAATCACATTGTGTGATGTAACCAAAGATTTAAAGAATGACATGCATACACTCCATAAGAAAAGAGACTTGCTTTTACTAGTAATATCAGATTGTTACATCTGAAAGAAATGCAAATGCCATGGACTAAGATACTAACGTTAACAGTAATGACTAACATTATTGTATTATCTTCAAAAATCCTGGCAGACACATTATTTGATGTAATTGAAGAACCCAAGAATGGCATGTGCACAGCCTCCAACTCTGAAGACATGTTCTTGCTAGTAATATCAGAAAATTACATCTATAAGGAATGCAAATGTCATTGGCTGAGTCCATTATCACAATATTGTCTTTAGGTATCTGTATGAGTATTTGATGTGATTAAGGAATTAAAGAATGACATTTAACCGAAAACAACCCACGGTATAGGCAGGTACAACGGAGGCCGCAGGTTGAATACGTGGGAAAAGAGATTGAAAGTCGGGCAGAATTATGCCGGGGTGAAAGGCCTGAAGTCGGTCGTTCGTCCCTGTTCACCTGCTTCCACATGATAGTAAGTACATAGCGAATTATCAGCGCGTGTTTCGTTCAAATGCCGGCAAACAAAGCGAATGAAGCCGGAAAGCGCGATCGATTCCTCCTTCGGCGATTCAAGACCTTTCACTTCACCGAACGGGACACAACAGAATAAATCAGATCCACGTCGAAAAACCACTATGCTCCTCGTTCCCGATACCAGCCTGCACGTTTCGCTAATTATTCAAGTGTTTTGGGCTTGGGCATCGATATTAATCTTCCATGGAGAAAGTTCGGAACATGCGGCACCAATCCTCAGGCAATATCCTGATCCAATTGCTGTCCTGGATATTTTTGGAGGGCCAGAAATTGCTGTGCAGTGGCATCTTCATGTTATTTTATTCCTTGTGTGAATTTCAAGGCTCGCTACGGTTGATCGTCTTTTATGCGAAGATGATCCCCTTTCCATCTTGCCTCGGATCTTCTTTTTCCATTTACCTTAGCACACCTGTCAGCGGGTATCACGTACACGAGATATAAGGTTTCTCATCGCCGTCAGAAATGCACCTCGTTGGTCTGTTACACTTGGAGTCATCGACAGAATTTCCTTGAAGACTGTTTCAAATGAATTAACGTTGAGAAAATATCTTTTATATACATTTTATCTTCTATCTTCCGATAAGAAACTTGGAATTTCTTTTGAATTAATCAAATTTACATAGGGAAATGTTATCAGGTTTATATAGGGTGTTTCAGTATTGATACCAGTGAAAAGAAAGTGATCTGCAAAAACAAATAAAAAATGTAGATTCTTTTTTACTTGCAACTTTCATTTATCTTTTTTTTTCTTTTTTTTTTTTTTTGGAAATTAAATTTGTACGATTGAAAGAATATTTATTTATGACAAAATAATAAAGATGATATTTTAAATTCGTTAACATGAAAAAATTAGTTGCTACAAATTAATAAATATAATTATTAATAATGTTGAAATTAGTACTATTATAGTACAATTATAATGTTCTTGTAACATTAATTATAATGTTATGATATTGTTAGTTATGTACATATTATTATACCAACAACATTATGTAGAAGAACTAGTAATACATTAATAACTAATTTAATAATAAATTTTTTCGTAAATAATTTAAAAAATTTTCAAATATAATTTTTTCAAAAATGAAGTCACATGAACAAATTTTAATTTATATTTTCACTTTGTTTACAGTACAATCAGTTACTAAAGCACCCTATATAAAATATTATGCTTTCTTCCAGCACAATAAATTAATGTTTGAATTTTAATAATGATAATAATAATTTAAGTTTCCTTAACAAATAAAGGTTTTCAAACTAGTTTTTGTTATAATAAAAATAATATTTAATTGTAGAATGATACTTTTTATAATGCATTATTTTCTATTTACGCTTGAAACGTATAATACAATTATCACATTTAAGGAAAAAGTTTCAGCAGATAATCGGTGCTGTTTATATCATTAATTGGTCATTAACGCTTAACGGGGCATGTATAAGAGCGCAAGATATGCGAATTAATTTCACTGCTATGAAACCGCTTGGCAAGTGTTAATTGCAATTCTAATTGCAATCCCGTAAACGTATGAATAACCGCCAGATGCGCAGCTTTTAGAAAGTGATTCTTATTTCGATCAACGAGAGTTTTCCACTTGAACGAGCTCAATACTCTTGTAAACAATTCTCTTTCTTTGGACAACAAAAAGAAAAGAGCAGTAATAAAACAGCGTAACAGTTAACTGCTTCCCCGTTAAAACAGCGTAAAATGAAAAATATCTTTTCTGTTTCGACATTTAATGCATATGGGATATGGATATAACACCCTTTGCAACGTGAGTCATAATATTAGATAATGTATGGCAATTATATACCTGGTGTCTCAAAATGTGAGCAAATAAATGCTTGAGATATCAATCATTTTATATCAGATAATAAATAACTTATGCAATTAGATTTCATTCTTCCATTTTGATGGAGGCTTGGAGTTTTCGTGATTTCATCTTCTTCACGCTTTTACTGACAATATTTTATGAGAATATGGATTTTATCAGATGGTAACCCAAATTGCCTGCGAATAAAAATGCAGAATAAAATTTTAAGTTTTTTAAAAGAATGAGGAAAGTTTAAAAATTCTACTGAATTTTCACTTTTTAATTTATCCTGTTTCCTTCACGTTAAATTCGACAAAAGAATATAAATGCTCCATTTCATAAAGGAATTTAAGTTTCTTACAGCAGGTACTTTTATGATCCTCCAATTACAGAATGTAACTTACCACAATGACCATTAAAGGGAATTTATCATTAGCAATGTCCTGATTGCACATTTTTTATCCTCCATATAAACTTGTACCCTAAGGCACATACTATAATTGGTATTTTAATACAGTTAAGAAAACACTGAAGTATAAATACTAGTATCAATTTTATCACACGAATAAAGGGTCAAAGTTAAACAGAAAAAGAAGCAAAAGCTTAGCTTCAAAATTGCATGTTATCAAAAGATGTGATCAGTTGAGAAAAATAAAAAACAGGAAAAAATAATAGAATGGAGCTAATTTCATTGTGAAGTTCACTGTGAAGTACACTATAATAGTATAATGGTGCAGAATAAAGTGAACAGAGTAAAATTATGTAACTGATAAATGGCAAGATTGATCTGTTCGCCTGCATTAATTCCTATAACACAGTGCTTTAATCCTTAATTGCTACCGTCAAAATGAAGCGTAAAGTATTCTGAGACTTTCCTTTTTAATTCCCCAACAAAGATTGACATCAATGCATGTAATTAGTAAATTATAAGGCTCAAGCAAACTGACGGTTGCTGAGACAATAGCGCCAGTTACCTGAGCGTATGGGGTTCCCAACCCCATTATATAAGGGGTTACAAAAAATATTGCAATAAGGTCTTCCTTTTCTCGTGAATATTCTACCAAACAGTTTATTTTTTTTTAATGCAGTACATGTCAGTAAGGGGGTATAATTTTCCATTCCATCCCTTCAAACATTTGAAACCCTTACATGGTGGTTCATATCGATCGTGTTGCATACCACTTTCACCCTCCCCTATTATTTTCCACTTTCTTACATCGTTAACGAAATAGAATGGGTGAAACGTTGGCAAACGCAGGGAGGAGCTCGATCGATTGCAAGGTCTCATTGCAGCCGGCGAATCTTCCTCAACTTTCATGCACACTTTTCACCAGTTAACAACCTTCTTCTGCCAGCTTCTTGGCTTCTCATTGCCTCGTTAAGAAACCTAGAGTCGCTTCTTCTAGTGACACTTGTATCATTTTGGAACCAAATCCATACGCTCCTGTGTTGCCTGAATTTATTATTGTAATTATTTCTTGGCATGAAAATACACTTACTAATATTCTGGCTATATACATTTCAGTGTTTTGTTAACTATACTAAAATTATAGTTCAGTGGTAATCTCATTAAACATCAATCAGAATTTAGTAGTTCATCAATCATAACTTTCTAGCTATCCTAACTTTCTAGTGTGACTTTACTGGAATATCAATTATAGTCTAAAGTTTTATTAACTACAATTTGGTATTGTAACTATAGGTATCTTTTTAACCATGACGAAATATCAACGACAGTTTGATATTTTATAAATTACTATTTTACACTATTTTATAAATTACAAAAATGCCAGTTATAGTTTGTGATTTCATTAGCTATAGTTTGGTATAGAACTATATTTACAAGTTTATTTTGTCAGCTGTAATTTAGTGTTTCAATTCTTCTAAATTAGCAAATATAATATAACATTTCGTGCACTATGGTTAATTTATCATTAACAATAAGCTATCTTATAGTGTAGTGTTTCATCAAATATTTTTAACCGAATTTTTCAAACACATAAGTTTTAAGTTTGTTTCTATAGCGATCCATCAAAATGCAAACTTAAAATATCAAGATGGATTAATGAACGATTTTACAATGAAGATCGAATTTCACTTGATAGTTCTAAAAAAAGAAGCCTGGTAAGAGGAGCAGATACTCCAAGAGGCCACCTGTAATGATCAATGAAACCCTTTACTTTCCTCCGTTCATCATTTTTTCCTTCACCCCTTTGTTTCCAAACACGTTCCTGTACTTTAACTCTGTAACTTTAGTATTCCTTATTGAAACTTGAATACAGAGGTTCAGGAAACTTGGAAAGTACTTTGCCAAAAACTTTAAACAAATAAACATAGTGCGTATTATAATAAAAAATATATATTTTATATAATTATAAAAATATTTGCATGTTACTTTTGGAGGCCACTTAAAAATATAAGGTTGGTAATGAATCTAACCGAACAAATTTTGGAAAATTGTACAAATTTTTTAATTATACAATTATGTACAAATTCCTTGACTACTTTATCCTAAAAACATTGTTAATTAAAAAGAAAAAAAGATCTATATTAACCTTATATTTTTAAGGTCTACCAGAAATTTTTGTACGTAAATATTTTTCTAAAAATATACAGATTCAAATAAATTATAACCTCCATTTTGTCCAGTAACTCGATATTACAAAAATGACTAAAGATAGTTATCAGCAAAGACTGAGATTATTGAGAATCAATACAAAATATAGGAACATTTTGGAGTTTGAATAGTAGAACTATAAAATGAGAATGTAAGCAAAACAGGTTTCAAGGATTTTGAGAACATAAAACTATTCTCCAAAATAAAATATAATACCTAGCAAATATATCTTTCCAATGCTATTGAAAACATAAATGTTCAACAGGATAAATGTTATGTTTTCAGAACATTTTGTTTTATTTAGTAGACTATTTCAGTCTAATTTTAAATAATTAGAAAGAAGAAATACAGGTAATCCTCTTTTGCATAATAATGTGAAAGTACCAAAACAGTCCAGTTTGCACTTATGACCCTCTACTCTCTGAGAACCCAGAACAATTGACTATAAACTTCCAACTTCCCAGTGGCTTTGTGAACCTGGGGACTGTTCTACTTACTTCAAAAACACAAGAGACTCAAAATTTAAAATACTAACTTCTTAACCCAGAACTTAGCATTGCCCTTAATATTATTCAATTTTGTACATGAAACCTACACAAGTAAAATAAAACTGCAAAAAGGATCTTTCACCCGGTCTTTATTCAACGAAGTCGCAAAAGTTGGTCATCATTATACATATTGAAAGTTGACTGTCCCCACCAATTCTTGAAACTGGCTTTATGGAATGAGCCTCCGGCGTTATGTATAAAATAAACAAACGGATGATATCGCAGATATTCGACGTCGTTTGTTATCGGATTTTTATTTGTACACAACATAAAAGAAATATCCGAGATTTCCTGGGATGGCTACCTTCTATTGCATAACTCGCATTTTTGTGCAGAGGGAGACTGAAATTCTCATGTCCCTCTACCTAAGGAAAATAGCGATAAAAGAAAAGGTCGCACCATTAACAGATCTCACGCAAATTAGACATAATGCGTAGTAATCTTGAAAGCTCCTACATATTCCTAGGATAAATTCTCAAATTTAAACATTCAGGAATTTAGAAATTCTGTATTTTGTAAATCTATAAATTTAGAAATTTAGAAATTTTAAATTTGGAAATTTGTTAATTTGAGAATGTATGAGAACTTAAAAAAGAAATTAATTTTCAATAATTAAACTATTTTTTGTACAGTTATATCTTTTGAAAATAAAATGGACTCTTCACAAGGTTTTCATCTACTTCATCTACAGTGGGCTTTAATAAATATTTATAATATAACAAGATTTATAATAAACTTATGTTCGCAATTCATTTTGTATTAAGTATATTGCTTAACATTGTTCATTTGAAATAAAAGACGTTAATTTTTATTCCAGAAGATATTTTTTGAACGTACAACAAATTCAAACAATTTTTAAAAACTTTCATGAAGTTAGAAAATTTCACTAAAACTAATCTTTGAAATCTGTTATACTTCCCTAAATTTTCAATATTCTTTAAACCTGTTTAAATCCAGATTACAAGTTTAGTGTACAATAAAAATTACACAACTCATTTTAAATGATTATAAACGACATAGTACTAGAACATAAAGCTTAAACTAAGAACCCACATTAGTAAAATGAATGCCGTTATTGCAAATATTTGTTAAAACTTGGATAAAATGCATACGAAATCCTGTAAAGAAACCCCGTTAAAGTCGTATTTGCTAACCTCATTCAGGCAACAATCGTTATTAAAAAAGAGGTTTAAAACCCGTAGTCTAAGTTTTAGATGAAAGACTGCAAAGTTCAAACATCCCAAAATTCAGCGACCAAGGCTAAAGTCTGAACGAGGAGCATACACGTTTGACCGGCTCCTCTCCTCCCTACAGTGTCTGGTGTCTGCATTTCCCTGTTTCCCCGTTTCTTCCTCCTTCGTCCGCTGGTTCGACGTGTTATCGATCCCGCTATTTGCGCGTGCTCAACAGACGCCCTCTCCTGCGGCTGGTTCCCCCCGCACGACACGCGTCGATCCACGACTGATTTGACGTCACCAGAATTAGTCAGCATCGATCGACACCGAAATCGATAATGTCCCGTTTTAGTATTAATACCAACAAGGGTTGTTACGAACCTTACCCCAACCCTCAACCGGAGAATCACAGATACGCAGTACGCATTTTTTTGTCAAGCTGACTTATTGATCTTCGCCGAAGCCCGGATAGAGGCATTGATTACAACCAGGGTCATCGGTGACCATAACACCGTTGTATAATTAAAAAGAACAAGGTTCTTAATACCTTTACTGCTCTACTAATACCATGGTATGGAGAAAAACCGAAAGGTTATAAGTATTAAACGATAGTGGAACATGCCAGGCTTCTCTAGGGAAAATGGCGACGCAGAAGAAGGCATATCAGACTGTGGTGCACGACTTAAGAAAACGATGATATAAGACCTTCGTGTAAACTAGACATTACATATTTCCACATTTTCAAATTCACTGATTCTCAAATATCTAAATTTATTTCCAAGTTCTCAAGTTCCTAAGTTCCCAAATTTCAAAAAACTTCTAAATTTCTAAATATCTAAATGATAAGTTCTCAAACTTCGAAAACCTTAAAAGCCGAATTCCAAAATCTCCAAATCCTTAAAGTTCGAATTCCAAAATCTCCAAATCCTTAAAACCCAAATTCCAAAGTCTCCAAATCCTCAAACTTCAAATTCCAACTTTTTCAAACCCCTAAGTAAATTTCTAAAGTCCACAAATTTTCAGATTTCAAAACTATTAAGGAAAGGGCCCCAATATTTGTGTAAACTGCACGTAAACGTTACACGATAATTCTAGAATATTACAACAAATTGTTGGGTTTTCTTCCCGTACATTAGCATTTTCCTAAATAAAGTCTAAAATGCTGTCGTGTGTATTAACCTCGCGTCTAGTCGATTCGGTCGTGCAACCCGAAGTGCACGCAATATTAGGTGTATGCAGAGATAATGGCTCTACGTTTATTTCTTGCGTCAATGAATTTCATCAAATATTCTACATGTGCTATTTTTATAGGATGACGTATTTTAATCTATAAATACATATTACTGGCAAAAATATTTAAAATTAAACTTAAGGTATTTTTGTAGACGTTAAAAAATTCAGTACTAAAAGTAGTCAATATTTTATGAAATATTTCACAATATTTTGTAATGAAATGTCTGAATGAATTTAGAGCATTTTACGGATCTAATACCTTTTTTATATAGAATATATCAGAGAATTGATTTATCTGGAAAGTGTATAGTTTCATTTAAAGAAATAAGTTCATGTTGAATTATTGAAGATGCCTATGCCTAGACAAGGCTTGATCCATAAATACCTCCACGAAGAACAGTAAGTTTTGCTTAAAACGTATTCGCTTAACTAATAATTTGAGGGTTGTTTATAGACCAAAATAGATCATCTTTTATATCGTATACCTAACACTTAAAATATACCTTTTCGTCTCAAGAAAGTACAGAAAAAAAGAGAAATTAATCGTAGGTCACTGATGCATTTTTAGACACATATTGTAGGCGAAAATGAAATTTAAGTATCAATGTTATTAAATATTGTTGTAAAATTTCCTTTCCATCTTTTCTGAGTCATGTTGGCAATGAAAATATAAAAAGTTTTATGTTTTATTACATCCACAATGTATAGTTTAATAGCTAGGTGGACACAATGTACATTTTATGTAGAAGGCTCATAAAAAAATTGTTCAAATTAGCAACAGTTTACTACTTCAATTTTGCTGTTTGAACAGATTGAAATTTAGTACTCAGCATTCGAACATAAAATACACGCTGTGTATACAATTTTGTTTATTTCTCTTTCGAAAACAAACTATACACTTACTGCCCGAATTTCTGCGCAGTTTGTGGAAATTTGGATATTTCAGACTTGAATAATGGAAGTATTTTTTAGTTAGGTACAGTTGTAATTAATACACAGTGTTTGGTTTAATATTCTATTAATTTTTTATGTGACAATGACATTTCACTGATAAATGTTTAATGATTAAATTATGAATTATCATCTCGTCAAATATTTTTGTTAAAATATATTGCAAGATCAACCACATTAAAATTTCTAAAATTACAATGACGGACAATTTAGAATCGTTTCACAATTTTGACAATAAATATAACTAACATTTGTGAACATCATTTTTTAAAATTAAGACATAATGTAAAATATCTGTATCTTAGTGTGTAAATATTGTATGTTCCCTGTTTTCCAAAAAATAGGTTTGAAGATGCAATATATTAAATAAATATCTGCTGCATTGTATTTATTATGTGATATGTATAACAAACTATAAACAATTATAAACGTTTGCGCAACTAGAATAATAGATTATGCAACCACAGTAATGGATTGTGAAACCAGAGGACTAGCCAAAAAAATTCACAATAAATAAAAATACTATTTTTAACAAATTTAAACAGTTAATATAAATACGATTTTTATACATCAGATTTTTTATAAAAAGACAGTTAGGAATTATTTAATTTTGCTTTAAAAAACTGAAATTTCGTAAAAAGTGAGGATTTGTGCAAGAGCCATCAGTCGTTTTTAACACAACTTTACCTTAAATTAATAATTTTCAAATAACGGTAATATTATGTTGTATGTTCTTGAAATGATAACCAAGCTAAATTGAACTACTTACAGGTGGGAAGATCGATAACTATGGAGCAATGACAATGCAAGATATGAGATATAAAATAGATATTTATAAATATTTATAAATGGATATATTTAAATGCAACCTGATGCATACGCTTACGTGTTAAATTATTGCCTTTTCCAAACTGATAACAATCCTAAGCATGCAACTCATATAATAATATTAAAGTTAGATGTAAAAATTTTGTCATGGCCCTCTTCAATTAGATTTAGTTAATAAAGTTAAACAATATATGTAGTAAAAAAGTAAGAACATTGCATTAATAATAACGCCCAACATCTTTCATTACTAAATTATCTTAAGTAGCCATGCTTGTAAATTATTAGTTCAAGCTAAAGGTATGTTAGTATTATATTACAGAATGTCCACCATGTATTACTTATAAATTTAATATATGAAGAATTAGTTTTACAAAATGTTAATCGTATTTATCGTTTAAAATGTAAAACAATCTTAAATAGTTGACCATTACTTTAACTTTGGTATTCTTGTAGAGTCTATGTACCTAAGATTGTAGATAATACAGTATTTAAATTTTTTAAATTTGAACTTGTTTGGTACTTTCCATTATTATTGGCTAGTATTAGGATCTGTTGTGTTCTTTGTACTATAACTATTTGAATATACAAAATCCGACAAGTTGGTCATACCATAGCAGTCAACATGTTAACTGTTTTCTAAATAACCCGAGCTGTTCTTTTCAATAACACAAAATTTTCTAGTATGGCTTGTTCAAATTGTTACTTTAGTGTATCGGTTCGCCAACGTTACAAACACTGCTGTTCCATTAACCTGCTTAACTGAGCTATTTCTTGATCGTAAATGAATATGTAATAAAAAATGAACGAATGCGAAGCAATATATCTTATCGGTAAAAGAATACATAGATTTTATTTTATAGAGTAGCGTAATGAAATATTGGTTTAATGAAATTGTGGAATTTAAGTAATTGTGTTTAAGAATTGAAAATCTTAAATATCTACACTAACAGAGTGTCTAATTACTTTTTTGACTCACTATTGCGTTAGTAATATAATTGACGCGGTGATCCGCTGACCTGTATGACAAAATTTTAACAGACATTTTTCTAATGTAAACATATTAATAATTTGAAATAACAGATTTAAAGCAACTGAAAGAATGTGATAACATGAACAATATATATACATTACTAAAAATTTTCATCATGTATTAGATGATCTATAGCTTGAAAAGTTTCCATGTTACAAAAATGCATGCATGAAACAGTGAAAGTTCTTTCTCCTTTCTGCAATGTTACAATTACTAATGATTTTGTTACATTTTATTTGCTGCATTTAAGCAATTACCTACTGGAATTTGCAGTTGATCAATTTTAATTTCACAGTTTCTATTTATTTCCAAATAGCGTTACGATTGTAGTATTAAACTGTAATTTGCACAGAATTTTCTAGTACCGATTATCTACCACATTCCTAAACCCATCCCTAAACTCTATCGCTTAGAATCAAGGAAAAGGAAAGCTGGCTAGTACGCAATAGCTCCTTTTGTTCTCGCGTATTCGACTGAGATTAATGCGACCTTACTGAATAAAATTTCGTTGCGTTGCAATCCCTTTGATCCTTTCCTGTTCTCGCAAATAATTTCACGGTGATTCCAACAATTATGCACGCTGTACTTCTATATAAAAATTGATTTACGCTGAACTATTGACCTTATACATCTCGTTAGGAAAGCTTCAAGCCATCGTTCATATTATTAGAACCCAGAGATTTCTCTTACGCTTTTCATGGTCGTTTCTGACAGAAAATCCTCTTAGTTATGTGCAATGAATTGTCTACATCAACACAGAATGCGAATATGGCTAAAATAATATATCATACTTTTTTGTGAAGAGGTATGTTGTTACCACAGATGCTATAAAATTCATAATTCATAATCTGCTAAAATTTGGTATTTAAATTTAATAAATATTCTGTGACACTTTAGGGTTAGCATTTTTGACTGCCTATCATGTTCACTAAAATCAAGAAAGTATAATATTATATTTTAATTTTTATTTTTGCTTTAAAATGTTTTCTGTTACATTACAAACTCCTCAATTTATGTTTATTGCATGAATTTTAATAATATTATCCAATTCATCATGAGGATATAATACCTCAGTATTTTTATTTTTACTGTATAAAAACAATTCTTTTCTACTATTTATTATCATCTCTAATAAACAATTTTTATACCATGTGTATACTTTTCAATTGAATAACAAACTGATAAATGCATTTTTTCAGTGATTTCAAAGTTTAAAATATATGTACATATTTTTCAAACAGGTATTCATCTTATCAAAAACCATAATAATTATCTGAGAAAAACTCATGCAAGAACTCAAAATAATACTTCAGCACATCATTTTTATTTTTAGTATATAAAAGAATTTCTGTCTGTTCTTTAATTTCACTCTTTATGACCAATCTATATCGCTATCATCTATTTTGCACAGTTTTCACTCTAGTAGCATAAAACAAATAAAACATTCTAGTATTTTTAATATACCACCATCAGATGATTTTCATACTTCTTTAGTATGTTGAGGCCATAGTCTTAAGCAACCTTTTCCTTAAGCATAACCAACGGAAAATAATAGTTTCCGGGATATTCGCGATAAACTATTTTTGATTACTCTACTGTTTATATAAATACATCGCAACGGCTGAAAATTAATATATACAACGGGTGGACTTAAATTGCAAACTTACCTAATTTCAGTGATTTTGAATATTAAATTGCGTGACTAGCAATGTCATACCGACCAGTATATTTTGACCTATTCTAACTTAATCTACTAAGTACATCTTATTTTTTTGTATTAAAAATAGCTGAAATCGGGTAAATTTAATTTCTAATCCGTTGTACATATTCGGCCGCTGTGATATATGTATTTATAAAAATAGTGGAGCAGCAGCAATTAAATTTTGATTCATACACAGCCATAGGCATGTAGATATATGCAGAATTAAATGTAATAGCAACAATATTTTAAAAGCTAAAATTTTCCGTCGATTATACGTAAAGGAAAGTTGCTTAAAATCATATTCGCAACAACACAATAAAACGAGCATTATCTCATGTTGGCATATTAGAAACTCGCCAAAATATTTTCATGAACGAGTCAATCAAGAAGAACTGTTTTCCATTTCAGATATTTGTTTCCACGAATAATGTCATTGTTGTTTTGAAGCAAGTCACCAAACATCCACTGCTAACTCGATGTATCAAAGAAAACATTTGATCCTTCTCTCTATTACCCACACTACAGGGAAGTAGTCCATTCTCACTCCATTCTCGCACTACGCCCCATTCTCGTCGTGCGATTATTGTAATCCGCAGTTACTGTTTCCTTATTAATATGCATCGCACGTTACACTACATGCTCCGGCTGTAATCATCCGATAAAAATATCACGCAGTGTGCTGCTTCTTTTCAGCACGTGTTTCACAACTACCAATACAGCTAATCGTTCACCAATTTCAGTTCTGCGACTCTTCTAACTCTTAACCTGTGATCAGTCAAACATCTCAATAATATAATTACGTCAATTTTTGTAATAATAAATAATAATACTTTGTCCTCAAATTTTAGAGTTAATTAGATTCTATATACAGCAATCACCAAAAAAATACCTCATAATACATTGATTTCAAGGATATGGTAAATCTTGTTATGTGATAACGCGATTTGCATATACTAATAAATTATTAATTCTCTGAATCAGACAATTTCGATGATGAGAAAATAAATTGCAGTTATATAATTACATTGACGTGAGCATAGTGGGGATGAGATACACGTTTAAGTTCTCCCACTACATTTCACTATACGTTGACTTTCAGTTCGCATATATTTTAAAAATAAAAATACTCAAAAGGAGAGTATGAGTCTAAACCAAAAGCTTTCAAAGATAGGTAGGAAATGGAATACAGTGGAGTCTCGCTATATGGCTCTGGATGAAACTGCACAACGGAAAATGTAGTAAGGGCCATATAAACAGAACTCCCTTCATTCAGCGTGTAATTACCGCTGAAAATTAAAAATTTTCTACATTCTAAATCTGAAAATTGTAAATTTCAAATAAAAAATTTGAAATTTCTGAATTTAGAAGTCTATACTTGAAGATTGTTAAAATGCTAAATCAGAAAATTTCTGAATTCGAAATTTTTAAATCTCTCTGATGATGATGAGGAAACATCATTAGTAAAAGTCCGTCTGTAGGGGAACTCGTCCGACGGGCCATATAAAAAAGAGCCATATAGCGAGACCAGATTATAATTATGAAAATAATTTATATTTTACTTTGAATGATGTATGATTAGTGAATCGGCTGAAATTTCGAATTTTAAAACAAAGAAATTTTAAACTTACAACTCCTCCCTCTGACGTTGAGACAGCACCATTTTCATGATCCTCGCGTGTGTTTGTTGGCTGATACTCAATAGTTATTCAAATGAGCGCGACTAGATTCTTCTCCAGTCAGCTCCTGATTCCTTTAATACCCAGCCATCGACATCTCCTGTCGAACAAAATTAAAGAATCTTTAATAATTTATTTATAATAGCAATGATCCACATGTTCAAGAAGAAATTCTCAAAATGTATGCTACAGGTAAATAGAGAATTGAATTAGAAGAGAAAGTAACAATATTTCTTTTCCATGTTTATTTCACACTAACTGCAAGTTGTATGCAAATTACAATATTGAATATTTTAAATTACGAAACGAATTGCACTTGAGAAATTTTTTTGCTCTTCATAAAACTTATATTTTCCATAATTTTCGATAATGTTTTTCTATTCGTTTATCTTATTAAAATTACATATGAACAATGAGTTATTAATTAATAATCGTAAATAAACGTGTAATAAATTGAAATTAATTTATAGATATTTTGCCATAAGCTTGAGTAACTGTTTACTCCAGATATTTTAATCACTTGTTTAGTAGATATTTTTATTGAAAAAAGAGAAATGCGTGTGCGTGAAATTAAATTTGATGTTATTAACCACGATAATGTTATCAGTCGATTTATAAAAAAAAAATAATTAAGCAGAACATAACACCTTTTTTTAACCGAATATAAATGCGGAGAGAAGTAATATGAGAAAGTAATCTTACATTAAAAAACACATTATACTAATACAAAGTCATGAATTAATTTATACTTCTTTTTTTAAATCATGAATGCTCTCATTACAAATGAAAATCAGTAATTAATTAACAAATTTTTTTTTAGGTGCAAGTATTCTTAATACAGAATGTTGTAACTTATTAAATAGTATAAAAACACAATTACTTCTTTCTATAATATAAGAAGTTTAGTATAGAGATACTATACAAAGTTTATTTAAGACAAAATAAAAAGCAGCGTAGTTTCTCACATTTCCATGACCTAGAGTTTTACCATTTAAAATGCTTCTAGCGAAATAATTTCTTATTCGATAAAAAGCGGGAAACATACGAGCATGAAAGGAAATTCAAACGAATGTGTGAGAGCGGTTTGTCCTGAAATCCTTAGTCGGAACAATAACATGTTCCCTGAACTGAAAGCAATGCCATGATTTGTTTTACTTTCCATCGATGAAAAAACAACACGAATGAAGACGTCGTCAGTTTCGTTTCACTAAAACGTCGCTTTAGAACGAATTAAGATTAAAAACAATAGTGTAAAAAAACAAAACGGAATGCAGAATAAACGTTTTTATTTTAATTAACAGGGTGTAAAATATTTACACATTTTAATATTTACAAATTTAAATACTGAATATCTGCATGTACTTTAATACTTCAGTTGCAAAAAAGTACATATACATATATGTAAGTTCATATACGTTCCGAGAAGGGAGCTATTTATTTAAGAACATGTATACGTAAGCTTAGTAAGCTTAGCTCATTGTAACATTTTATTAGACTGTCATTATCGAATATGCTATTACTAATTTGATAAGATTTCTTTGCCTTTAAACCTAAAACGAACGTTATCACGTTATTCACTTAAAAAAATTTAATCGTTAGAAAAACACTGATTGTAAACCATCTCGTAATAAATCGAGAGAAAACATATAAAAAAGAAATTGTAAATGTTTCTTATCTCGTCATCGCTTCAAATGAAATGTTATACAAAACGGGACTACTTTTTTGAAACGGTGATGCAATGCTAAGAGCAATACCAACAAACCTTAAACACACTGTAGCTGATACAAATGGGTTAAACAAACATGTTTCTGTAAAATATCAGCGATTGTATAGTGGCGAACACCGAAAGCTTCTCTAGGAAAAATGGTGACTTCGAGGATTAAATATTCGTTCACTTTTGAATATTAAATTTTCAAAATTAAAAAATTTGGGATTTTGGGAAATTTAATAATTTGAAAATTTGAAAAATTCGAAATTAAACATTGTTGAGTTCACACATTTCATCCTCTGAAAGGAATAGAAAATAGTAAAATGTTCCTCCCGCTACATTTATCCTTAGACAAAGGAAGTCTACGTTTCACCCAAATATATAACATTTATATCTATTCGTATAAATATTTTATAATCTTCATTAATCTCGCCAAATACATCGAAAAATTACACGTGTTACTTACATTTCAAATAGCTATTCGCTTCATTCAAGTATAAAGAATGTTCGAGGACCAAAATATTGATTACATTTCTTAACCTATTCAACAACTCCTCTCCTCTCGGTGCATCCGTGAAATGACATAACATTTGGCAAAACACGCGGGTTTCCGTCAAATAAATGAGATCGTGATTGGTCAACAATATTTGAACAGTGGCCCGAAAGCTCCACACTGATTGGTGAATGCCAGTCGAAATCAGCCAATTAGAATCATCGAATAGCAGGCGGCCATCTTTCCCCGGTAATATTCAAGTCTAATCAATAACCAAAAGATCTAAGGAAAATGACTTCTCAGTCATCTTCACAGGGTAAGGATGACGTTTTTAGCAAAATACTAGAAGAGGAAGGACCTTGACAATCGCAAAAGCGTGCTGCGTCGTCGCGACGCTTTATGATGATGCTTAGCGGCGCGATGCGCCGTAATCGATAAACCGGCTGTCCGCCCACCCTCGTTGCTGTGTACGTTTCACCTTGCAATGCGTTCAAATATTCATGACAAACTCCTTTAATCCTCTACCTCTAATCATATTAATGAACACAATCAAAGTATATCAAACTTTCTTCAAAATCTTTCTTTTACAACAAGCTTTAATTAGAACTTCTGGTTGACAACACTTAATGTAGATACACACTCCTTCAATAAACCTTATGTTTCAAGTATTGATGCTTCGATGATTGTCAATTATTTTTTATAAAGCACTATTTTTTTAAAAGAAATTTCGTAATGATTATAAAGCAAGAAGATTAGTAAAATAAACTCCAACAATGACATTAAAACTACTCCGTTATTGCTTTATAATTCATAAATTAAAACCTTGTTTCTATATGTTATTCATCACCAATTAGTTTTTGCAGCGACCATTTCCGGGATCGTCTGTACAGGTGAGCGACTCTTGGCCTTCTCGACCTCACGCACCGCGATCTACCTGTGGCTTCGCTTTTCTCAACTAATCTCTTTACATACAAACACGAGAAGTTACTTGAGATCATTGGCAGCTCCAACAGCATTGAACATATCAAGATCAACTTGTTTCGCGCGTTCAAATAGAATAAAATGACTCATTTGGCAACGATGCTGGTTTTCACAAAAAAGATGAGAAATTTACAACCATTAAAAACAAAAAGAGAATCAAATATTGATTACATCCGCGTCGAACATTATTAGAAATTCAATTCGCTGACAGATTCGACAGCTGATCGCTGACTCAACTGCAACTCGCGCTAACGCCTGTCAAAAGGTGCAAAGAAATCAACTCTCAATGTTCACACTCTGACAGATAAGATAATTCTCAAAATTTAAAAACAACAAAATTCGGTACAAAGGTTTAAGTTCGGTGGCTTGGTAGTTGCGGCAAAGCGATCGTACTACCGCACCACGCAAACGGTCATTCGCGAAAAAATCAATTCAAAGTGACGTGCAACATGTACGTTGAATATCTATGAAACACGGTTGGACGATTGATCAAGAACCATCGATCGATATCTAAATTAGTGTTTAATCGAGTGCGTGATATCGAGTAGTGTCATGTTGGTCAGAAAGCATTGCTATAAGATTATCGAGTGAACGCGGAACAACCGTTTGTTGTAAATCGTGCACGGCCATTTTGCTAGAACCTGTCACGTCTGGTTGCTATAGATTTTACGATCGAACCGACTTATTCGCTCATAAATATACCGTAGAAATCAATTTCGCAAATTGGATATTTAATACTCACTCTTTTTGTCAGATTAGTAGCAACCAAGATTCTTCGAGATCGGAAAAAATCACGAGAAAACCGGACGAACACAACCACTGAAGGACTACTCAAGATAACTTCTGCGATAGAACTGTCTCACAAGGTGGCGCCTGCGAAAGTCTTCCTTCTTTGCGCATGTGCCAAATATCGATGCCACTATTCTTCCTAGCTGCTTGAGAGACCTACGTTTCAGCCACCTTACTAGGAAATTTTTTGATTCTAGTTACATCTTTTTAAAACGAAACTAGGGAATCTTTAAAAAATGTAATATTATTTCAATGAAATTCAATGATTGATACTATATGCAACTATATTAAATTTAAGATAAATAGGTATTTAAGATTTATTATTTACATTCTATTTATTTTATCTAAGATATGATCTCTCGAATTACAAATTTTGATTTATTCTGCGCACTTAATTATAATTGGCTCCGACAGGCTTCGTAACCATGAGAACGCGCAAGCGTTCTTACAACGATTATGTCGCTGACATATATACTTGGTGGTGTTTTTGAAATTTTAAAAGTTTCAAGTTTATATATTTGATCCTCCGACATCAAAGATAGAACTTCTTCTATACAATAATTTACAATCAAAGGAAGTCTGTGTTGCACTCAAATGTATATTTCAATTTCTATAATTTATTTACATTATTTTCTGTTCTCGCTATTTGTATATTATCGATCACCATGTAAGCAGAATAACAATATAGCAACATCTAGTGCGAGCCAGCTGATATCAGTGGAGTGACGTGAGCAGAGCAAATGTGCGCAGAAGAGGACCGACCTTAGTTGAAATACAGATAGTTACACAAAATATTATTGTACAACTTTCCAAACATTTTCGCACGTTCCTTGCTTTAAAGAGAATAAGATAACACAAAATCTGCATAAGCATTTTCTTGTTATCAGAGGAATGTTTTCATAAGAACAAAATTTATATACGTTTCATATATTTGTGTTAAATATTTTTTAATACATTTTAGCTAAAATTTATAGATGAAATATATAAATTTGATACATCTTCGAACCGGCAATGTAACCTATTTGCAATTATTTGTCCGTCATTTCAAATTGTACAAGATATAAGAATTATCCTTTAGGGATAAAAAGAATTTATATTTTGATGGCTTTTTCACAATCCAACTCAAGAGGTAATATACAATTATATTATTTTGTTTAATGTGTAATAAAGTTGTTTCTTGAATTGATTGTAGAAGTACAAAACAGAAAAATCTTGGAAGAATTACAGTTGAAGAAACAGATGCTTTTAAAGCAAGGTGTAGTTCCAACATTAAATACGTCCTTAGCCGTTACATCAACAGGTTCTTCTAATTTGGTAAATATATATTTCATACTTTAATATTATTATATAAATTGCAAATTAAGTTATTATATGTTTGTTTTTCACATGTTTCTGTGCATTAGCCTCCTACACAAACTTCTGATGGTGTTGCAATGAGTGCATCGCAAAGAGCTGCTTTACATAATGCACATGCAGCTTCATCAGGATATTTTGTGACACAAGATTCTTCTTTTGGCAATCTTATTTTACCAGTTCTTCCTAGATTTGATACTAAATGAGAGATTATAAATGATAAGTGATTCTGTATAATATATATGTAAATAAGTATAATCAAATAATTTTGAATAAGAATTAGATATCTTTTTAAAGTATATCTTTAATAAAACTACAGAACAATATCAACTGATGATTAATTAAGTTAAGAAAATGGCTAATATCTCACTTCGTAAATTAGAAGAATATTTGCAACAAGTGGATGGATTTGAGAAGCCAAAAATATTACTTGAACAATATTCTACTAGTGCTCACATTGCATCGTGCATGTTATACTGTGCTCAATCACAATTTGATGATATAGAAGGGCGTACAATAGCTGATTTAGGTTGTGGATGTGGTGTTTTATCCTTTGGAGCACAGATGCTTGGTGCAAGTCATGTAATTGGCTTTGAAATAGATTCTGATGCACTTGAAATTTATTCTAGAAATTGCAATGAAATAGAACTATTTGTAGAAGCTGTACAGTGTGATGTACTTCAATATTTACCAGGTATATATAAATACAATGTAGATAACAAACATATAAAATTTATTTATTAAAATTAATTCAGATTTTTACAATATATTACAGGAAGGTTTGAAAACTATTTTGATACAGTAATTATGAATCCACCCTTTGGAACAAAACATAATGCAGGTATAGACATGAAATTTTTAGATATTGCTATTAAATTAGCATCAAGTACTGTATATTCTTTACATAAAACGAGTACACGTAATTATGTTCTTCAAAAAGCTGCACAATTTGGAGTCAAAAGTAAAGTTATTGCTGAATTGAAATATGATTTACCAAAAGCATATAAGTTTCACAAAAAAACCTCAATGGATGTTGAAGTAGATTTTATACGGTTTGAATTAAATCAATGAAATATTTTCATGAAATCAATTGTAGTGTAATTATTCAAACTTTAAGCCTTGGGACAATGGCATATCATCTCCGTAATTGATAGTTACAGTTGAACGTCGCATGTAATATTTCCATGCATCACTTCCACTTTCGCGACCCAAGCCTGAGGCCTTTTCTCCTCCAAATGCACCACCTATTTCAGCACCGCTAGTTCCGACGTTAACATTCACTAATCCACAGTCAGAGCCATGAGGACCAATCCACTGCAAATCAATGTTTTTAATAATATTAATTGAACACAATAACATAATTACACAGTTGTGTCATATACTACCTTGAATACACTTCCTAGATTTTTAGTAAATAGGGCGCTACTTAACCCTTGTGGCACATCATTATTGACTGTAATAGCCTCTTCTAAAGAATTGACTGTAAAAACGTATACAATTGGTGCAAAGGTTTCTTTCTGAACTATCTCAGCATTAGGTGACAGGCCCGTAATAATCGTTGGTTCAACGTAGAAACCAGGTCTATTTATTTGTTTTCCACCAAATTCAACTTTTCCTCCGCTCTTTACGGCGATTTCTATTGTTTTCTGTTAAAAGAAAATATATGTGAACATTATATTCTTTTTATATTTGGCATTCAGGCTGTAGTTTAGCTTTTTTTTAATATATTAATTTTCAACTATATTAATATTATATAAATTCATATAATGATACCTTATATTCGTCTATTGTGCGTTGACTATGCACTGGTCCATACAAAGTATTTTCATCCAAAGGATCTCCTATCCTCTGCAAGGCATTCTGATATGCTACCTTTAATTTTTCTATGAAATTTACATATTATAATATTTTTATTATTATTATCCGCTATTTTATATATTAAATTCAGGTAATGTTTAAATTAAAGTTCAGTCTTTTACCTACGAATTCATCCTTTATTTTACTGTGAAGAATTAATCTTCTGGTAGCTGTGCACCTTTGTCCAACTGTTCCCAGAGAAGAAAACATTACTGCCTTAACTGCCATATCTATATCTGCATCCTCAGCAACTGAAAAGAATAGAGTATATTAATTATATCCATAATATTCATAATATCAATGTTAAATACCTATTCATAATGTCAAATAGGATTTTAATTTACCTAACGTTGCATTGTTTCCTCCTAACTCTAATAAGAATTTTCCAAATCTTTCTTGGACCTGAAGAGCCACTTTTTTTCCAACAGCAGTACTTCCAGTGAATGAAACAAGAGGTACACTGAAAGTAAATGTATTAATGTATATTTATAAGTCGTTAAATATATATAAATATTTTTAGTTTACCGTGTATTAGTAACGAGAGCTTCACCAACATCTGCTCCACCTGATATCAAAGTCGCGACCGCACCTGGTATACCATTTCGTTCTAACACATTTGCTAACAGTTTTGTTGTTGCAATAGATATTAAAGGAGTAGTAAGCGCTCCTTTCCAAACCATTGTATTTCCACAAACCATTGCTATTGCACTGTTCCAGCCATAAACCTAAAATAATATTATCTATTTTATTTAAAAAACTTGGTACTCAAATTATTTGATATTTTATCGCTTAAAATAACGCTTACGGCGGCGGGGAAATTGTATGCAGAAATAACGCCTACAACTCCAAGAGGATTCCATTTTTCTAAAAGTTCATGATTTGTTCTTTCGGATGGAATTACTTTGCCGGGTAACATTCGAGATAAACCAACGGCATAATCACAAATATCGATATATTCTTGAATTTCTCCAATACCTTCTGACAATATTTTTCCTGCGAAATTGTGCGGTTAAAAGTAAAGCAAACAGATGAAAGAAAATTTCATAATCAATTCAGTATCAATTTTACCTGTTTCTAAAGATACTAATTGTCCTAACGGTTTTAAATTTTCTCGAAGTTCATTTCCTATTTGTCGTACTATTTCACCCCTCGCTGGCATTGACAAAGATGTCCATTGAGGCCAGGCTTTGCGTGCTTCTGCAACAGCATTATTCACTTCTTGGGGAGATGATGTTCGGACTTTTGCTATTACTTTACCAGTTGCTGGTGCAACCGATTCTATGACCTATTACAATGATATTAAGACAAAATTATTTATACTAACATAACTATTATAGTATACATATATAGTTTACTAATTATAGTAAATTATTATAGTATACATATATTAGACTTTGACTGGTTCAATTAATATAAATTATAAAAAATTTTCAAATTTATTATTTATCATCATAAATGTGTAGTACACAATTTTATAGGAATAAGAATTTATTTGTAATAAATCATAATTTGTCAGTTAAAATGAATTTGAAATTTCATACAATTAATACTTGTGTAATCATTGATATTAGGGATGTTTATGCAGTATATTTCATCTGGCTTTATCTTCCCTAATTATTTTCTTGTTTGTAAAGATATAAAAAAAAAACTCCTAAATTATCGTATTTCACGGTGAAAGCTAATTTACAAAGATAAAGGTCAACATATGATTATACTTTCCAAAATTCGACAAGGACTGCCAATTTTTTTAATAGAATTGGATTTTTTGTAAATTGATAGTTTGTGAGATACTTAGAATTAAAAAATGAGATATTAAACAGACATTTAAAATATCTCAAATCCTTAAAAAAATATAATCTGATCAAGAAACAAAAGTCATTACGAAATCTTGAAAAGACGGACTTTATGATATATTCATTTTTTTTACATATATCAAAAAACTGATATATGTATTTTTCGTATTCTGTATAAATCTTTGGAACATACTATGTAAAATAGTATCAAGACAAAATTTACAAGTAATTTATAGTCACTGCAAAATGTAAAATTTGATGCTAAGACAAGTTTAATTTTTTTACATAAATATATTCTTTTTAACATTTTGCATAACAAAGTTTTAATGTTACTGCTACCTAATCAGTGATTTGTGAGATACTTTAAATTTTGTAACCAAATCACTGTTGGATAAAAATGAAAATACCTTACCAACTATAGACTTTTCAAATATTTTATCTTGATATTTTTCATATAAAATATTCCAAAACACTATCTTAAAGTTTAAGCTTCCTTCCAAAGTACAGTAACTTTCTTTCAAACATTTTACATATCTTTACAAGTAATAATAACATAATAATATGAAGCGAAATATTTTACATAATTATGATTAAATGAAAGTAAATGTACCTGGCCTGAACCTCCCCATCGTCCGTCATAAAGACCTGGATTTTCTGTCGTAAGACCTAATTGCTTCAAAAATCCATACTTCGAATCAGTCACTAAGTTTCTTGCCAACTTTGGCTGAGAAGTAGAAACAGTATTTTTCAGCAAGACGGAGAACATCGTTAATTGTTTGCCAATTGCTAGTCAGTCTACTACTAATGCATTGAACCCCGTGGCATTATTTAAAAACCACCGAGGGTTATCAAAATAACTCTGCGCTTATCGAGAAAAAGAAGAAGGGACATGATAAGCACAATAAACAACCAACGTATGATTGCAAAAATCTTGATACGCTTGTAAATGATGACAGTAGTTTGGCAACAGCACAACAACACTGTTAGAAATAGTTTAGTACTATTGGACGAGTACATCTCCAAATGTTCCCTAAGAGCAGAATTAAGTTACTACGAAGGTATTTTTATCACAGAAATGATCATTGAATAGAAGCATACAAAAGATATATTTTTAATACTATGTTACACTAGTTCCTAATATCAAAAATGATATGCAAGACACGTGAGAAGTACGTTACAAAAAATAATCTTTTTGAAACTAAAAAGTTTGAAGCAGAAAGCAAAAAATTGGAAATTACTTAATCAATAAATCAGCGTTTCTCTCTGTCCAATAAAATAACAATTGAAAATCATATCAAGACCTTGGCAATGCCCTAATGCATTCAAAAATTAGAATGAATTTCAGTTATCATATGCATTTTAGAGCAATTATAATGGATTTTATTTAAAAGATCTGAAAAATAGATTGAATTAGGAAATATGTATACATGTAATAAGTAAGATAAAAAAACGCGTTTTATTATGTAACAATAATGCCTCATCACAATGCGATACGGCAGTGATTTATACAGCATAAACTTAAAAAAATTGTCGTCTTTTTTACATTTGTGATTCAAAATTTCATCCCTTTCAAAATAGAAAGAGAAATTCGTTGCAAATGCTATTTTTTTCTTTAATTTTTTTTCTTTAGTTTTTTCACTTCATGCGTGTATTGAAATAAGATTATTTCAACCGGGTCGACAAAATTGATAACATCGTAGGTCAGAAATAAGTCGAAGAACTGACCTCGTTAAGGTTGGTTGATCCTGTTAAGGTATCATAAATTTTATAAGAGATTGTGAATATGTAATATTAAAATTTCTGTAATGCCAACTCACCGTAGATTTATCAAAGTTTCCTAATAGAGTAGCTTTCTGCATGTCGTCCACACCTTCACAACTTGCTAAAAATGTTGGCAAGAAATGTCCAAAGAACCATGCTATATTAACTGAAGCTAAACTATGTATAGCAGTTGCAATTTCATCTGCTAATAAATTATGGGACCTGCAACAAATTTTATTAGAAGTTTCCTCGGTTAAATTAACAGATTATAACATTTTAAACTAACTGTTGAAATAGAACCGTAAATAATGCCATTAAAAATCTCTCAAGCAAGTGAGCTTTGAATATAGCTCGTTGATAAAGTCTCCATTGTATATTTAACTGTTCAAGACTTTGTAAACTTTGACGAAATATATTAACATCGGGCTGGAGAAGAGCTTGGCCAAACGCTTCTAAAATTGCAACTAACTCTTCTTTATGTTCAACTGATTCTTCTTCATCGGGATGACCAAGAGTAAGTAATACAGAAGTATTATAAAAGTATTGCCATCTATGCATGAGTATGCTAATAACAACCAATTACATTAATTAATACTTCGTTAATAATTAAAATATGTCATAGGATATTAGACAATTATCCTATTACCTATGAAAAAGCTTTAATAAAACAAGTGTAGTATCTGGATATGAACTAAGATCATTTCCAATAACAGGCCACACTTGTCCCAAACATAAATTAGTCACTGAAGGAACAAATGCTTTAAATGCACTGCTAGTTGCTGATACGACTAATATTAAAATTTCCAATAACTGATCTAGAGCAGGTCCAGCAGGTATATTTTCTCTACGAACATACCAAATGATTCTATTAGCTCCCTTTGTTAAAATAAAATTCTGTAATAATAATTTAAAAAGTACATTCACCTTGTATAAATGTGCAACAGTCCCTGAACCGCGTTTTGAGTAAATTCAGGACCTAATTGTTGTTGTAATACTAAAAATACTGAATGTAGGAAACTAAGCAACATTTCACAGATAATTTGACACTTTATCATATATGGCAACAATTCTAATATTCGATTTATCGTTGGCCCCAAACATGAATGTAACATTTTTTTTATCGTCGTAGATGACGCAGAACAGTCATTTAGTAACTGAGTTAATGGTACTACTGTCATTGAAATTGTAGATTTTGTAGGTGCGGGTTGTCCTTCTGAACCGAGAGGTGCAGACAAAGTTGATATCATGGTAACTATTTAAATAAAAATCATAAAATGTTAATTATTATTCTATATACATATAAATTTTTGTATTTTACTTAATATATTTGCATACCTAATAATCTTTCTCTAATGATTCCATCTCCATGTGGTAGAACAATAGCATTCACCAATGCTCTTCTCAGTACCTTTATTGTATCAGGTTTCAAAAATGGATATGTTACCATAGAAATCAAGTTTCTGAATGTAGGTTCATCCCATAATACAGGTTTTAGAATAGCAGTAATACTTTGAAAAAGATGAGTCGCGGAATGAGTTAAACTTGCCGGTGGAGGATTATCACAGAATGTTGTATAATCTAATGCTGAAATGCACGAATCAATGCATTGCTGACAAAGTGATTCTTTTGCTTTTTCTGGTTTGTTAGCTATCCAATGGCACCAAGCTTGAAGTGATGCTAACAACTGTGAATGACTGATCAGAAAAATATAGCAGAAATATAAAATTCATTCCATTATAATAATGTATATTAAAAACATTGTAATACCAATGGTTGATTTATCTCATAAATATTACTTACACTTCTATGAGATCTATCACAATTGCAGCTGGTTGTAATGATGCTTTATATAACTGATTGGATTTCGCAAATTTACATGCATCCAATGTTTGAGACACTACTTCTTCAGCTAATGATTGATCAATACTTTGATTATCTCCTGTTATTATAAAAACCATGTTTTTAAAAGTCACACTTCGATATTATTATTTTTGTTATTATAAAGTAAACGTACCCAAGAAGAGTGAATATAATCGAGCCAGTGCTTGAGTTGTAGAAGCTAAATCTCGTAAATGTGCATGTACATTTGAAGCTTCTGACTCGTTTAATAAAATTACTTGATTATTCGCAATAACGGTGCCTAGTTCTCCAAACATTATCAAACCTTCTCTCCAAGAACGATACTGAAATGTTCAGAGTAATTAGTAAGTCAAAATTAAATTAAATACGTTTATAATTATATATAATTTTACCAGTAATGTGAAAACTGGGATTGGGGAAATATCTGCTACTTTTGCCAAACATTCTATATTACATCTTAAAAAATGCTGCCATTCTGTTTCTTCCTATAACAAAGTATTTGTATGAAGGTAAAAAAAGGAAGAAAAATATGAAAAAAAATCGCCTTTTAAAGATTTACTTACATTTTCATCCAAACTTTCCGTATCGAGGTCTTTTAATATGCGTGTATTAAGTTTAAAACTCATCTTTTGCAATACTCTCTCAGCAACAGCTAGTGCTACTGGAGAGTATCGAGATTGTGTACTTTCTAAAAGAGTGGTCCAAACATCTAAGCATCTTAAGTATCCGTTCACTGTTGAGCATTGTTGAAAAGTATGATGGCACAAGACTTCTAATAACGTATTCACTGGAAATTTAGGACATGATTCAATTCTCTTTAGATGATTTGTTACAAATAATTGTAAGAATTCTGTTAGCTTCTCCATATAACTAGAAATACAATATGTTTCGTTTATAAATATCAATTTTTAACATGGAAATTATACAAAAATAACTAAAAAAATAAATACCTTTCATTGACAGAATCCAAACGTTCTAAAAGCTGAAATAATGTAACTCCATTCTGAAATATCTCTACCAATAATCTGTCAGTTACATCAGGAGAACACAATGGTCTATATAAAAGTTCATTTATCGTAGTAACAGCTTGCACAGCCATTTCTACTTGTTTTCCATTCTGCCAACAAAACTTATAATTAGCTATAGTACTTGTTAGCTACATTACAATATTTTGTAATATTCGACATAAAACCTTACCATCGCATCGTGATACCTGGCACAGGTGAAAATGGCATCCAATAAGTTAGTAGAGATATGTTCAGATAATTCAATCCAACTAAATAAATGAGCTAATACATCCAATGTAGCTATACACACTTCGCTAGTTCCTGTAGATAATCCTTCCACATCTAAAATGGCTCTTGCGGGTGCTACATTTTGACCACTGGTAGGTGATGGAGGTGGTGTAACTGTTCCAGAACGACTTTGCAATTTTGTTGCTTCTCTTAAAAGTACTGAAATAATGGTTTGTTAAAAAATAAAACATATATCAGAGTGTCACTTCATTTTAGAATATAAAATTTTGTTTTAAATAAAACTAAATCTTTACAAAAGATAGCATTACTTGTAAGAGTTTCCAAAGTTAAAGGTACTTGAGCACTAAGAAACCTAAGTAACTCATTCTTTCTTTGTATCGGTAAGTCTTCTCTTGGAGTTGCTAATTCCTCTGAAGCTGTTCTCAGATAAATGAGGCCCAACAGTCTTGTGTGTTTATGACTCAGCAACTGTACCATACAAGAAAAGTATGCAATTTTAAATGAGAAATAATTTATAAAAAAAATTTATTTGATATTAGCACATTTACAAACCTGTAAAATATTTAAGTAAAAATCTGGATAAAAATGTGGCCAGTCATGCCTTGCAATATCCACAACTAATTTGACTACCTTATTTCTTACAAAAGGAGCTACACCTCTTTCTAACGACAAGGTATATAAAGTAGATCTTGTAAGTGCCCTATCTTCCCATGGAAGAATTGGCCATCGCCTTCCAATTGTAATCTATAATAATATTTATACTGCCAATAATATGTTATTATATATTTAAACTTACTTTTCCTTATAAATAATTTAATAATATTGGAAACATTAATACGTACCTCTAAAGTGGATAGAGCAAACATGCTAACATGATGATTATTAGTAGACGATAAAAAATGTAAGCAAGGTCTCCAGGAATCAATTTGTCCTGCAAATTCCTGAAAGCTCTGTTCAATGGTACGTTTTCGTTCATTAGTTGTTTGTGGTGAAAAAAATTCTGTCATGAGATGCTCCAAATTCTGCAGAGCAGCTGCATCATTGTCCTATAAAGTTAATGTTTATTTTAAAAACATTTATATTTACAATTTTATTATATAATTTAGAAAAAAGGATAAATATATTGCACTAATATTATACAAAATACTACATATTACTTTGTATGCATTTGATTTATATTATTTTACCATTTGTGATTCATATGTATTCTTTGCAAGTAAGTTTAATTTTGAAATGGTACTGTCTAAAGTAATGATTAAAATTTAAATTTAAATTGCAAGTAAATTGAACTTAATACACAATGTATGAACTACAAAACATTAAACCATTAAACTTTGGTTCAATAAAAGTTTTCTTCAAAACCACTGTAAACATCAAGTAGAAAGAACAAAAAATATATACCATTACATGATAATACAATGTTTTGAATTGCAAATATAAAAAGTATAATTATTATTGTTACTTACCATGATAGCTATAGTCACAGAATGTTGTTACTAATAAATGCAATATATAAATGTACAAAGCAAACAAGGTTAGGCTTTTAGTTGTCAAACGTCATGTTTGAAGCAATAAAGCAATAAATGCTTGATGCCTTGACTCTTTCATACATACAAAATGTATACAATTCATGTAAATACAATATGTGAATATTTACCATTATTTGTAACTAGAAATGTAGCCAACCACCAAAAGGAATGACCAAACTATAGTCACACATTACTATAGATTTGCTATTACACCGCGAAAAATAAAATATCAAGTTACATTTATTTACTACTCTCCATTTTTTTTTATTATTTGTAATTATTTGCAGTTTTAAATGTGAGATTATTTTATAATATTTCAATAACATTTAATATTGTAGTACGTTTACTATAAACTTTTTTAATTATAATTTTCATGCTTTGTACTCTTTCTAACAGATAAATTATTAAATTATTTTTTGAAAGAAAGTAAAGAAAAACGTTCGTTTAATATAATTAATCAAATTAAAAATAAATAGAAATGTAAATATTCATTAAGACAAGCAACATTTAACTAATACTTACATATTATACATAGTAAAATTCATTGTTGATATCTGTAATAATAAGGTAAAAGAATTTCAGTATAAAATTTACATTTGATATGTTCAAATGTAATTTGATATGTTCAAATGTAATTTGATATGTTCAAATGTAATTTGATAAGTTCAAATTAAAATAAACAAAAATTATTATAAGATTATTTATTATTATATACATTATTTAATTTTGCCAAAGCCTTAAGACTTTATCTTTTCCACCAGATGCAACGCACAATCCATCTGGAGACCAATCCACAGCATAAACTTCATCTGCATGACCTGGTAAATCTTGACAAAGTTTCTTTGTTTTCATACACCATACTGAAACAAAATTGTAAAATTTACTTATTATTTATATTACATATACGTTTATATTAATTTTGAAATAAAAAATTAAATAATTTTCGAATTTCATGTTCTGAGCACTGTCATATTACACAGTTTACTTACCTTTCAAAGTAGAATCTGCGCTTCCACTAACAAGTAAACGAGAATCTGCACTCCATGCAACTGAATATACAGCTTGTACATGACCTCTTAAAGAAGTTATATATTTCCCAGTATTCGCTTCCCACAACTTTATAGATTTATCGAACGAAGCTGATGCAATAATACGGCCATTTGGAGAAAATTTTACGTCATTAATTAGTTGTTGGTGGCCAGTCATTCTTGCTATAATACAGACATATAATTTATGCAATCAATATTTTTATTTTATAATAATAATTATATTTATACAATAATAAATAATACCAATAGGTTTCTTCTCTTTTTCTGGCTTCCAAAGAAATAATGTAAAGTCATCAGAACCAGAAACAAGTATTTCTTCACCTATAGATTGATACTGTTTCTTTGCATACTCTATAACATCTTCATTTTGATCTTGACTTTTTCCTAGATGGAAAGGACCAGTCCTAAGTACATAATCTACATTTAATGCTAATGTATTCACCCAATGTGCATGACCTTGTAAAGTTCTGCATAAAATTCCCTATAATAAAATAATTTCAATGAAACATTCCATGATATATTTATGATATATTTCAATTCAATGATATATTTATAAAACTTACATCTTCAGCTCTCCATATTTTAATAGTCCTATCTTGTGATGCGGAATAAATAAGTCCATTACCTCCCCACTTAACACATGTTACACTTTTTGTGTGACCAGAAAGGGAACGAACTGTTTGTGCTCTGATTGTATCCCATATTCTTAAATCACCATCTTTTGAAGCGCTAACTAAATATTGACATTTAGGATTTCTATGAAATGGTTCCCAAGATAAAGAAGTTACCCACATTTTATGTCCTAACATAGCTTTCCCTATATATTCATAAAAGTTAAGTGTAAACAAAATAAAATCAAAGAAACAAAATGTTAATAATATGTTCACAGAAAATAAAAATTGTATTAAACTTTACCTATTTGTTTGCCTGTTTTTGGATCCCATAATAAAATTGTGCCATTTTTACATGCAGATGCAAGTTTTGTTCCACATGGTGACCAAGATATACATAAAACCCAATGTTTATGACCCTCACATGTATAATATGGTGTTTGTGTATAAATATCCCAAAATCTAACTGTTGTATCTCCAGAACCACTAGCTAGACCTGTTCCGTCTGGTGAAAATGCAACTGATATTACAGCTTCCTTATGCCCTAAAAAATGAGTTATATTATTTTATTTTGATATACAAAACTTAAGATAATATTGTTAATATGCAACATACCTTCTAATGATCCACTACACCTTGTAACTGCTCTAACTTTAAAGATTGCTTGAGGTTGATATATAATTTCAACTACATCTTCACTGATACTAAAATTTTCATTAATATTATTTTCTAAACTGTCTACAATCTCAATGTCATTAATGTAAAAAGTGAAAGGTATTGGTTCTTCATGTTGCAAAAGTGCATTACAAATTGCTTGTAACTTATCAACAGTAATATTTGTGGGTAAATCTAGCAATCCCCCTGATAGTACTTCACCCTGATCTGATTTAAAGCGAGCCAAAACCCGCTTATTTTCTGTTGGTTCTGTTGAAGTATCTCCATTATTTCCAGTCTCCTCGTGTTTTCTTTTATTCATTGTTAAATGTATTATTATTTGGTAATATCTCTCATGTTATTTGTAAGATCATTCTACATTTGACACTGTTTATAATGTAATAAAATTCGTATCTCGAACTATATAAAAATTCATTGAAAAATCACTGCATATTATAACAAAACTGTAATCCACGTGGTATAAACATAACCTTCATTAAAGAAGTTACTATTTGTATTCGTATCCTCGATAGGCTATCATTACTTCGTATAATTTGGCTAACTTCAGTATGCTTTCCACCACTTAATATACTATATATTTTTTATTTGGTGGAACATATATACTGTGAACAAAATATATGAATATCATGAACAAATAATGATGTTGGAAGTATACAAAATAATGAATTACCAGATATAAATGCTACGTCGCTACATTCAATTAGAATCAACATGTCAAATGAACGAAACTTAGCTAGGAATATACATTCTCTCCTGCAGAAACTATACACATGTATACTTATATTTATATGTGTAATATATGATGTATTTATATAAAAATATAGGAAATAAAATGGCGAGATAGTGTGTTGATGGTTACTTTAATATCATTTTTAAACTGAGTGTAGGAAGACTTTTAATTTAATAAAAAAAACAAGTCATTCATCCATTATTAGATTTTTCAATTTATATGCCATGAATTCATTTAATTCCACGATTGAATCTGTTCAAGATAATTGTATTCGTTACAATGAAGACCACAATTGTACTGCTACTAATGAAACTACCGGAGAACTTTGTGGTGAAACTGAAAGTTTGAAAATTATTGATGAATTACAAAGATTATACGAGACTCGTATTAAAAATGTTGATCACGAACTGAAAAGTGAATTTGATCAAGCTTGTGTAAGACTTTTTTTCTATTACAATGTTATTTAAATTTTATTTGAACGAACAAAAATATAGAAAAAAGACAAGAATACTCATTTTCTTCGATAATGACACAAGTCCTAAAACATAATTTAGAAAAAAGCAAGTTTAAATGTTTTAAAATGCTATAACTTTGTATAGGCATAAAAGAATGGTTCTTCTTATACTTATTTTTTAAATCTCACTTTTTACCAGTGTAAAATATAAGCGAAACTCATTCTTCTTATATGATTAATATAAATTCTAAACTATACTATTGTTGCAGTAAATGAGTTATTTAAACCTATTATTTATATGTAAATTAAATACAGTACTATAATGATAACAAATATTTATATTTTTAGATGAAATTAGAAATTTCAAAAGAATGGATTAGGAATTTAAGAGAGGAGAACATCATGTTGGTGCAAGTAGTTGAAGATTTAGAACAAATTGCTTGTAGCAAAGTTAAATTATTAGAACAGAAATTAAGGCAATCATCAATAATAGTTTCTGATAATATGTCAAAATCAAATCGTACAAAAGAAGCAAGTATTTTACAGATGAATTTCATTAACATTCTATATCAAATTATTTAAATAAAAATAAATTTAATTTAAAAATGTTGTAGAAGATAAATACACTTTCAAATCGTATCAGCGATTTAGAAAAAGATGAAGAATATATGAGGCAGAAAATTGAATTTCTTCAGAGTGACATTAGAGGACTATTGGAATTAATACGGCGTGCAGTACAAGAAAACAAGTGGAATTTGGATGGCATAAAATTTTTGGAAATACAACCTAGTGACATTCCTGCTCCTATGAAGTAAATATTTAATTATTTTTATTTATTTATTTGCTTTACTTTTTTTAACGAATTTGGAATAATCACATTTGTATCTTTTCAGTTGTACCTGTGACCAGGTAAATATAAATATAGATGCTGATAAGAAATTCAAATTATCAATACAAATTAGTAACAATTTCATCAATAAATCAAATTATCCTTTAGGTGGAAGTATTTGCATGCTACAATCCTGTCCTTCAGCAAATCTTTAGTTAACTTTTACTTTCTATTAAATTTTATTGATATAAATTGTTTGTTTTACATTTTAATTTCCTACACTCTTTTTGATAAATTCGTTGTTAAAAATAGTATATAAATTTTTATAAAAAAATAAATGGCGGGTATTTAAAGTAATTTTACATGCATTATCTTTTTCTTATATTTAAATATTCTGTAATATTTATTAATATCATTAATTTAAAATTAATTTTATAATTCTAAAACTAGGGAGAAATGAGTTACAGAAAGATGCAATCTTTGAAAGTACAAATTGAACAATTGCAAGAAAAGGAAAAAAATATGATTGCGTAAGTGATGAATAATAAGTAATTATTACTAAAGCATGTTTGTATTGAAAATTTTTCTACTTTTTAGATATCAAAAAGAATTGGAAGACAAATTAATAGATCTCAACACAAAATTACAAACTAAGGAAGATGTAATAACAAAATACATTTCTCAATTTCAAAATTTTAGTGAGAATCTTAAAAAACAAGCAAAATTTGAAGATGAAAATCCATGCAACTCGTTTATGGCGGGTAATAAAAAAACTTGTGATGTAAGTTAATATATTTCAATTTACTTAATGAACTTCATTTATTGTTTTTTGGATAAAATAAAATGGATGAAAGTAAAACACATCAATAATTAATTGGCAATCATGCTGAAATTTTCTAAAATTTAAATAAGTTTCAATAATTTAAATATAATATGAATTTTTTTTTAAATTACTGTTGCTGTTCAGATTATGTTAATGGCTGATATTGTGGAAAATGTATTGAAAGAAAAAGACTTAGAAACAAGAGATTTGCAACGGCGTTTGCGCGATGTAGAATCTAATTTAACAGTAATAATTCGCGATAATGACATAAATATAAATAATTTGAAACTGCAGTTAAGTGAAAAATGCAAAACAATTCAAGAAATAGAACTACAGATGGCTAATCTAAAAAAAGTTTGTGTTACTTACTTGAACATATATTTTTATTTTGTTATAATGATTAATCATAATTTTAATCATATAATTATTAGGATTGTGTAAAAAAACAAGAAGTTTTAATAGCTAAAATGACGGAAAAGGATAAATTAGTAACATGTCTGCAAAAGCAAGTGGCTAATTTGCAGGAACAGGTTCATTATGCAGATTTACAGATTCAATTTAAAAAAGGCATCATTAAAGAAATGAGAAAAAAATTGAAACAAGCAACTTCTAAGGTATAAATAATAGCATGCCTCTACTTTTGTATAGATAATCATAACATTTTTTATTTGCAGTGTCTATGTTCTAAATTCTTTCCGTATATGCAAAATCATTATAATCAAACTGCAATTAATAGTCATGAAATGGAATTTCCTTATAAATTATACGAACACGTTATTGCGCCAAAGATCTTATATGCATCTACAGATCATAAAGATTGTATTTCCGTTCTGCAAAGTTATATAGATAATGTGATAAATCATAATAAAATAGCAAACAGTTTACCTGCAATGGATGAAAAACTTAACACTTTAATAGCAAAAGCAATAAACTATCATAAGAGCACCGAGTGTAATAAAAACATATGTACAAATTTGCATAATATTGACAAAAAGATTTTAAAGCACAGTAACAAATTACCGCCTTTTAACGAAAATGTAGAATTTCAAGAGTTCAAAAATCCTATTGCTTCAGAAGCAGCTAATGTGACATAGATTAAATATTTAATAACTCGTATATGAATTGTATATCTAAATTATGGCAACAATTAATATTTGAGAATATTAATCTACATAATATACATTCAATTGAAAAGTGTCAATAAAACTAGAAATGACTAAAAATGATTATGTAAATTTGAAATATTTAATAATTACAACATATTTCAGCATGATTGCCTCTTATATTTGAAATTGAATGTTGTTACTTTAACCAGCTAAAATTTCAATACGTCTGTTAATACTTAAGTTATTTATTGTTTATTGTAAATTTAGTTTCAGGAAACATGCATTGCTTCAAATGACTGTGTTGATATGAAAACATGCCAACAGGTTAGTGAAAAATAAAACAGTTTTTATACAATATTAATAATTTAATATGAAACATTATAAAGTACATAATATTAAAAAAAATGGAGCGGTATTTGAGTTTGTATTTAATAACGTTGCTAATGCTAGAAACATTAATTTGTATCAAATTATATAGAATCAGTATTTTAAGTATTAGTATTTTTTAGTATACAAAAATATTAAATAATCCCACAAATCAGCAGGTAATGTATTTATTATATACATTGTTAATAAATATATATTCTATTGCAATATACCGTTTAATATACATTTAAACTTCTAGAATCAAGTAATATCATATTTAACAAAAGTAAAATCGTTGATGGAACAAGAAAAGGAAGATCTCCTCAACTTAAAAATAGAATTGGAGAAGACTATTGAAAAATTATGCTGTGGAACAGATGAAGTTGGTAACTTTAATATAGCTTATTACATTTTAATTAAAATTTTATTTTAACGAAAATTGCACAAGCTTGATTCGCATTCATTGAAATAATGGTTATAAATGCTAATTCTTAAATATTTAAAAACGATTAGACTCTTATTAGTTAAAGATCTTATTACTACTAAACAGTTTTCAGTTGTCTGTAATATCACAAAGAAATCACAAGAAGAATGATTGAATTCAATAAGGAATTTCTGCATTTACAATAATATAAATCGTAGTTAATAAACACAATCATAAGAAATGCGCATCATTTTTTCAATTGTAATAAAATATAGAGAAATAAAAATCTTATGTTATTAACATACACATTTTGATGATAGAAAATGTTTATTGATATTGATATTGACATTAATTTAATATTGTTACTTGCAAACAAAATTAGCACATGAAAAGTCATGAAATTACAGCAAAATAATTTGTTAGCCTTTTTTTATATATTAATTATAATATATTATTATCGCTATGCATATTTTTCGTTAAAGAAATGATATTGATGATTTGTTTATTATGCAGGAACATGAATGTGATGTGAATGACGTAATGCATAAAGTAACAAAAACTATTGAATATATAAATAAAATATACTCAAAAAAGGAGAAATCAATTGCAGTAATTAAGTCATTAGTACGTATAGCTTTTAAATATTTTGTAGTAAACATAATTATAGAATATTTACAAAATTTTATTTTAATATAATTTTATCTTATACATATACAATATTGATATTGATATAATTGAAAATATAAAGTAATTTTTTTGTACATAGAAACTGTAAATTTGTTAGTAAATTAATTATTATTCTAATTTTATAATTAAAATATGTAACTATTAAGTAGTAGTAAAATAATATTTAGTATAAATTGCAATTTACACCTATACAGTATTAATGAACAGAAAGATATATTTTAGTCACATATAAACATTAATGGACACTTTAAATTAATGGAGACACTTAAAGCATGTGCAAGTGAAGCGCAAGTTACCATGGAAAATATTAAGGATGAAATGAACGTGATTGTTTCTACATTTAAGTTTAAACATGATAAGGCAAGTTTATATTTCATATGTATTGATTCTGTAATCATAAACATTAAATTCATAAATAATAACATAAAAACGTTGCAGTATGCTGATTTAAACAAAGAAGTTCTGGATGTAGAAAATCAATTAATAAGAACTCAAGAAAAAATTTCAGAGACAATTAATCAACTGCAATTACAAGTAAGAAATAAATTTAATTTAATTATATTTGATGTCTTCATTTTAAAATTAAACTACAATTTCTGTTTCTAACAGGAAGAGGAAAGAACGAGACATAATCAAAGAATAACTTCAGGAAACATTAAATTAAAAGACATCAAAAATGAAATAAATCATATTCAATCTCGATTTTTGGTGCATATTAATGGAATACGAAATAATGTACTGGTTAAAATCTGAATTTTTTATTATAATTAAATATTATATTATTTCATCAACTGATGGAGTCAACATTATAATGTTTACAGGAAAGTCTTATGACAGGGTATACAGAAATGTGTATGTGTAATGATTTATTATATTCAGTGATAGAAGAAATAGAACAAACATCACACAGCTTACAAGTATATAAAAATTAAATAAATTTTTATATTTAATATTAATTTCATATTGAAAATTAATAATAACTAAATGTTATGTAAATTTCTATAGAGATGCTGTTTCACATCAGATCTTGAGGAACTAAAGAATCATCTTCATAAAGCTAACTGTTCCATAAAGAAATTACAGGAAAAGGCAGATGAAGCAGTTAGTACATTTATTGCTAGAAGTATATTTGTCCAATTGTTTTATGAAACTTTATATTTTATTTGAACTTTGTTTTTCGTAGTTAACAGAACATAATACAGTTGAAACGACATTTTCTCAAAAGGAACAAAAATTGGAACAATTAGAAAAAGAGATTGATACAACTCATTTAAAAATACAAAACATATTGGAAGTAATTAAATCTTCAAATGAGCAGGTATTTATTTGTTATTTATGTTATGAAAAGATAAATTCAAAATAATATTTTTAATTGTTTTGATTTGAACAACAGATATCTGATGACAATATTGCAGAGTCTCAGCTGTATACACAGGTTTATACTAATATTTTATTTTATTTTCATACTCTTCTGTAATTACTGTAAGATTAATAAATTTATCGATTTCGTATAATATTTTTTAGGCTTTAAATGAAATATTGCAAACTAAACAAAATTTATATAAGTTAAGAAAGGAGCATGACGAATTAATGTTTAAAATTTCGCAGGTAAGAAAATTATAAATTACTTTGACTATACATTAAAGAAATGTACATAACATAATACTTTTTATATGTAATGGATTTATAGAAAACACTTTATCAAGAGTGTGATGAAAAAACGTGTTTATGGAAATCTAGAGTAACTGATTTACAAGATCAAGTTAAAATACTGCAGCATGAGGTATTGAATATTACTTTATCTTCCATATTATGTTATTTTCCAAAAACAATATAAGCATTAATAACACCAGTTGTATGATTAGTTACACAGTTTTTTGTTGTAATCTATTAATCAATTAATTTAAATTCATTGGTTTATATCTATACCGATGTTTTATTTTTTAGACAAAGTGCAACGTAGAAACAAATAATTTTCTAAGAAATAGTATTGAGTCAATGGAAGAAGAACTTCGTAGAGCGCGAGTAAAGTCAGAAAATTTCAGACGATCTCATTCTATAGACAACATGGAATTAAAGAAACATATTATAGAATTAGAAAATACTGTAAATATTAATTAAGTTCCAATTATACTTTATTAAATATCAAACATATAATTATTCGGTACGTGTTTAAATTTCAGCTTAAACTACAAAGAGAAATCGAATGTACTCTTCGGCAACAATTAAGTGATAATGAAATTGAATTAAAAAAATCTAAGGAACTACTGACGTGTTCAGTAAGTATAACATTTTACTACTAATTTAATTAATTTATTGAATGATACCAAATAATTTGGTCTTACGATATATGCTTAACAATATAATTATATTTTTCATACTTACTATAAAGAACACTGAACATAATACTGAAGAAACATTGTCACGCTGTGGATGTTACCAATTTAGACATGATACAATGGTAAATTTTATTAATTATCATATATGAATTAAAATGAATTAAAAAATTAAGAGTAATAAATAAATTAAATTTAATAGACTGTACCACAACTATTCAAAACACTTCAAGATACCATGAAGTCAACAAAATATGGTCTTCAAGAACTTAAAGCAGAATTGAAAAAATTGGTTCGTATTAATATCATTACTTTATAATGTAACATTTACGATTAAGATAATAATATTTTAAAAAGTTGAAGTTTTAAATGTTATGTACTGAAAATTATCTATTTTCTAAAATCTTCAGTTGTGTGAGGATGCATTTAACTACAATTCTTCAATAAGATCCTTGAAGAATTTAATGGACAAGTTACAAAAATATGAAGATGAATTAGATAGTTGTTCCCAAGAAATCGATAAACTTAAAAATACATTATATTCTAAAGACAAGCTTGTAAGTATACATTTTGGGATTCTTTTTTTGCATTAAAGAATTAAAAATTCTTTAATTTTGAATAAAATGTAAACATTTTTTATTTAAGCTGGAAAATATGGATGAAATTATAAGGATTCAAAAGGATTCAATTGTGATGACACAAGCTGAATTAAAGGAACTTCATCAGAAGCTGCAGGAAAAGGTATGTTAAAACTCATATTTATTTTATGGAAAGCTTGTTCGATAATATTTTAAGATATTCATAATAATAAACCATTTCATGTTATTAGTAATATATATTAAAATTTGCTTAAAATATTTCCCGGACTTACAAACTTTTATGAAAAATATAATTTGTTTGGAGTTTCCATAATTGTTATAATAGTTTGTAATATCATAATTTCTTGTATTTTATATATATCAAAACTATAACTGAATATTACATTGTGAATTGTGTTGTCGTGAAAATTATATACGAAATATTAGAACAAGAATAGTAAAATACTATCAAGATTTTAATATCAAAGGTATGTGTCTTATAAATATTGAAGTAGTAATATTAGAATTGTAAAATATATTTTTCTAGATTGATAATCAGGATCAAATAATCTCTCAATATGAAAAGGAGAAAAAAGAATTAATAAAACAGGTTAGTGTACTATCATTATTATATTGTTGAAGATTATAAAAGACATTTCAATTTCTATTTGTGTTAGCCTACTTTCCAAGTGTAACTAATAATTAAATTTTTACAATTTTATATTTTTCTAAACAAAAATTTAATTGTAATGTATAAAGAATATAAATCATATATGAAATCTTTTTTATGAACTAATGAAAAAATTATTATTTTTAGAATGAACTTCAGGTTCAAACTATTGGTCATTTACAAAATGCTGTAGTAGAAGCTAAGAAATGTATAGATCAAATGGGACATAAAGCTATGAGTGATGTGAGTGAACAGTGGCCTGCAGCTTCAATATATAGTCAGGGCAATGTGCATGATGTTTAAACTTTGACTTGAAAATGTTAAACCTGTGCAAATAACATTTAAAACTATTTTTATAGAGTAGTAGAATGTAATGCATTTTCTCCAGCCTTTTTTAAATTGATACAGTTATTTGTTGTATAGTCATATAGTTTTAATGTTATTATTAATAATCTTGAAATATTGAAAGATAAATTATTTTTAGAATATGTTACATTATAATTTAATATTTTATATTTTGCACCTTTTTCACTTTAGTCCGTTTCGTTTTATTATACATTTTTACGATATTTTATTTTTTGAAATCAAATCAATTTGTATATAAAATTTATACATCGTATGGGGTGCGACGGAAATCCTGTTATATATGGATGATTTCCTGTTAAATAAATCAAGATATTTAAACCAACTTTTTCTGTTCAAGGCTTCTTTTAGTCCAAAAACGAAACCTAGAACAGAAGTAATTTGTTTCAAGGTATTGACTTTCTAAATTAGGAATCACTAGATATTCACATTTTCTGTAGCATCCTGTATAACTATATATGTTTATAAATATTGATAATTTTATTTTTATAAATTGTTAAATAACTTGTTAATAACTGTAAAAATCATTTATTGTTATTGTAGTACTTTCTCTTCAGATTGGTGCAATTGACCATGTATTTATATACACAGCAAATGACGATTATTATAACAGTATGTAATTTATTAACGAAGTTTGTTGATATTTATTGAAGTAATAAAAACATTGAATAAATAACATGCATGTATTGTGTGTCATATTTTAACTGTACCAACAGTGTTAAAGTTATTTTAAATTAATATTTCTATGAATTCCAATACAGTGTGGTTTTGATTATGACAGTGTACTTCTGTGAGTTTAGTGTGTCACTAAGTTGTGATACAGAAAAATAATGTTTGTATAATAACTTATATAATGCTATTTTTTTATTTTAAAGAATCAAAGGAAAATATTCGAACAGTTTATGATTTACAGCTTCAAGAAAAGACTGAAACTATCAATTCATTAACAGTGTATGTTGAAGAAACTCAAAGTCAGTATAATGAATGCTTTTCAGAGGTATGTTACAAACTGCTTTGATCACCATTACTAATCAAAAAATACCATTTATAAATTATGTATTTTATGCTATATTTACTAATAGAATTATTAATGACAATTTTTCTGTTTATAAAGGCTGCTAAGCAAGATGCTTTATTGGATTTACAAAGAGATGAAATTCGTAATCTACAACAAAAAATTAATTCTACAGAAATGGATAATTATCTGACAAGTATCTCCATTCATATTAAATATTATACACTTTTAAAAACAATACAGGTAGAAGAATCTGGAAGATTGCTTTATATAATTGTATAAAACTGTCCCATATTTCTCGCTTAATAAAAATAAAATATATTTTCCATAATAAGAATTTTGTTATAGCATGATATTTAGTTGTAATGTTAAGAACGAATTAGTATTGATTTTTTTAATATTAAAAATGACTGATATTGATTAATTGTTATAAATTACTTTTAGGAACACCTGGAATGTTGTGTAAGTGACGTGCAAATTTTAAAGGACAAGGTATGTTTAAATAGAAAAATACATACTTTTATTCGATTTTTCATCACATAATGTTAATTTTTTTTGATGCAGCTTGATGTTTTAGTACAATCAAAATGTTGTTTGGAAAGTAAATATATGCACATGAAAAAGCTATGGCATGAGGCAGAAGAAAAATTAAAAGAATTTAAGTAAGTCAATATTTTAATAACATAACAATAAAACAATGTATTATAATAATAATTTATATTAATTCATGTAGAAAAGAAATATTGGCACCAGAGCAAGCAATTAAGTTTACTAAAGATAAAGAATGTCAATGTAAAGTTGAAGTAGTGGATAAAGAATGTGTAACCAAAAATACGTCTCAGTTTTATGGTCTTAAATGTAATAGTAAGGAATCTTATGAGCATGAATTACAATCAGAGATCAATATTCTAATAAGGGAAAATGAAGATATGAAAAAGCAATTGCAGAAGTATAAATTAGATTTTGACATAATTGATAAGGAACTGAAGATAGAAAGAGAAAATGATATGTACACTCAGCAAATTTTATTCGAGTTACAAAAGTTAAGAGATACAGGGTGTTGTTTGCAATATGAAAATGAACAACTTAAAACAGATTTAAAAAAACAAACAAACAAAACGGAAGATTTATTAGAAAAATTACAATATATTAAAGAAAATGATGTGAAATTTGAGAAATTATTGAAAAAATTAGATGATAAGCAACTGCAGGTATAACTAAAAAGATTTTTAAATTCATGAAACAATAAACAATATAAATATTAATATTAATCTCCATCCATTTAGATTAACAATTTATATAGTCAAATTATGAATAATGAAATTACCATAAAAAGGCAAACGGAAACCATCGAAGAATTGAAAAAGAAATTAAATGTCAAAAATCAAGAAATTGAAGCATACACATCTGAATTAAATGAAATGGACGAAGTAATGTCAGCCTTACATAAACAAATACAATCGTTAAAGAACATGTTAAATGAAAAATCAAATGAATTAGTAAAATTACAAGCTGACAATAAAATGTTAAAGGTAAATAAAAGTATTGCAATGTTCCCTTCGGATTGTAATCGGTATATTAGTGAATATATGTAGATTATTAAAAATATTTAATTCCAGAACGACAATTCTATATTAAGAATGGAAAATAATTCTACTGAAAATAAATCAAAAGAAGATATTCATCAATTGCAAATGATGGTACTTATCTTAATATGTTTTGAAACAAATTATTTAAAAATATATATATACTTTACAATAATAATTTAAGTATTTTAATTTTAATTTAGTTAAACAACTTACAAGTGCAATTACGTATCGCTGAAAAAAATTATCATCATGTATCAGAAGATTATAATAAAGCACAAGAGCAATTAATTAAAGTAACAAAACGTGAAGCTGATTTACAAGAATGTTTGACAAACATGGTACTTTTCATATTAAAATATTTTACAGAGTTGACAATTTGACTAATTTATTATTCCATTTGATGTATTTTATATAATTATTTTAGGAAAAAGATTATTGCTTGAAGCTGTCAAATATTGAAACAGAGAAAGCTAAACTTGGAGACTGCTTAGATAAACTAAGGGATGAACTAGAAGAAATTCAAAGAAATTATTCATCAAAAAGTGGAGAGCACTGTAAATTACAAGATATTTGCAAGTCTTATGCAGAACAATTAGATATTTTACAACAGCAGGTAAAATGAATTAATGTAATATAAATAATCTGAAGATATTATATAAATTAAATAATAATAATAGTATTGTAAAAATAATAATGATAATTAATTTAATAATAATAATCTTACATATCAATTACGTTTTTTTAGCTTGATAAGGAACAAGAAAAGGTTAAGAAAATAGAAGAAACAAATTGCTGTATGGCGCAACAGTTACAAGAATGCAGAGAACAGAATTGTATTCTTGTTAAAGAAAAAGCTACAGTAGAACAAAATAATTGCAAAATCATTTCCGAAGTAAAAGGAATATTTCATTGTTTATAAAACAAAAATACTAGAATATTTGAAACAAGTTTTTAATATAGACATTTTTTAGCTACAGGAGACTCATAAATCTTTATTGGAACTGAAAAGAGAATGTCAACTAAAAAATAAATCTTTAGCTTGTATATCTGCAGAACTAACAGAAACAGCCATAAGTAGATCAGAACTATGTAATCAATCACAATATGTTGTTTCTTGTATTCGGGTTTGGATGGAGGAGCAACGAGAGTATGTAAACAAGCTTAATTCGACATTGAAATCTCAGCAACAAGAGGTATTACAACTTGAATTTGAGAAAAAGTAAGTGCTTTTAGAATTCCAACAATACAAAATTTTTAAGTATATATTGACGTTATCAAAAATGATTTTGTAGGGGATTGTTAGAAGAAGCAAAAAAGTTGAGACGAATTAATCATTTACTAACACAAAAATTGAAAAGAATACATAGACATGGTAGCAAAAATGTTAAGAATGTCTGCGTAGAGTGCCAGATATTGCCACCAACTGTTGATATACATCTCCCAATGTATTCTAAATATTCATCCTCACAAAAGGTAATTTTTTTTCATATATACACTTCATGATTTTGCAATTACTATTTTTATTATTTTATTCGAAAACTTCATAAATTTATATAAAAGACAACTCATATCATAATTATATAAATTATACATTAATTCTTCAATAGAAGAAAATTTAATTTCATAGAACTCGATACTTTCCTTCTACATATAAATATTAATTATAACATTCCTAATAATTTTTATTTAATAATATTGAATTATCTTTTCCAGAAACTAAGTCTTACAAAAACAGCCCGCCGTATATCGGCAGGTGGAAATACTTCGTGGCATCCTAAAATGAAATATTTAGTAAATGAGCTTAGAAAAAGCAAGCTAGAATATAATGAAAATTGCTATAACAGAGTGAATACTAATGTAGGATTAGAAGAAAGTCGGGACTGTGGTTACCAATCATCTACTAGTAAATGAAAATGTCATAGAACATGATTGTTGACAAAAATTATTATTTTTTATAATGAAAGTTCTGACAACTTAGTCAATAATTCATCAGAATTTTCTGCATATTATTCTCCATCGTGTAATCCCTTTTTGATACTTATATGAATGAAGCGATTTTAGAGTATAAATAAATATATATATATATATACATAACATATGTATTGAAAAGATAATTAGCTTGTCAGGATAAATTTTATTCGTTATTTTGAACTGAACTTGTCAAATTACCCAAGTTCATAAAAAAATAATAACGTGGATGACATAAAATATGAAATAGTACAAGATTTTTTATATACATATTGTGAAATGCTTTCAATAGAAGTTTGCATTCAGTAACAGTAAATATTTCCACACTTTTTGGAGGATCCTAAAAATTATACATAATTAATGTTCTATTAAAGATTGACTTCAAATATAAATGCATTTATCAATATTGATGTAAAAACTTTGCAAATTTCAATGCAATAGTACATGTTATAACGAAAAGTTATATATTTTCTACAATTGAAAGTTGAAATTTTAAGTAATTAAACTAAGCTATAGATTTCACATCTAAGACTACATGCAACATCTTGGTAATGTATTTTATTGGATTATTTTTTTAGCAAAATTTTTCGTAAATATTTATTATTGTCCTTATTAAATGATACTGTATAAAATTTATAATAATATATTATAAAAAGAAGTAATAATTTAATTCTAATAATTAATAAACATAATGAAACAGAAAGTTGTATTTAATATTATTATAAAGTACTCTTTGAATTAAAGAAAGCAATCAGTATTAAAGTATATACTGGATCAAATAATTAAATACAAACAATACGAACCAGGACAACATGCAACAGTACAGTTTTATAAAAAAACTGATAAACGTCTTTAGCTTTCAGCCATGGATGTGAAAGAAAAAATACATGTGTAGAATACACGATTCCCAATAATCCAGAAATGCCTTTCTCAGTAAACAAATGCAGTCTAGCAAATATATAAATAGTAAATAAATTTAAAAAACTTCTTTGTTATACTGTAAATTATATTAAATGTTGCTGATAAACTATAAGAATGTAGGGCGTTCCTCACAAACTTATACAGCAGTACCTTCCGAATTTAAAAAATTCCCACAGTGTTTTTGTAAGAATATTGTTACTTTTTTCTACATTTTCAGCGAAGAATTTATTCGCTACAAAAAAAGACGATGTTATTTAACTTTATGTATACAAGTGACATTTTCAAAACAATATTTATATTTATTTACCAAAAAAGGAACATATCACATCCTTGTTCTGCTGATGCTTCTTTAAATACACTAAATCTTCTTCTGTAAAATATTTCCAAACACATAAACTCGGATCTAACGGTTTAACATATCGAGCATAAAGAGGATTTTCTGGATAAATCCATGATCCGCATAAATCATCATAATTCACATTAGATTCAATCTTATTTTCCGAACGGATTCTCCGAAAAATTATAGTTTGAATATCAGATATTTCACGTTCCGACAACTTTGAACACTTAACATCCACAATAGGTGTTAAATGATCATCCTGATCATTAATTTTAATATGGTTATCTTCCACCATGAGTTCAGTAGACATTATAGAAACTGTTATTTTAAGGAAACAATGATAATTTGTTGAATTATTAAAGATTTAAACTTTATGCGTATTCATTTACAAAGAAAATGAAGATTCAATAGATTCAATTGATTATAAAACCGAGTTGATCACTATTTGAAATGGTAATATTAATACAATCTATAAATTTTACATGTACTATATATAAAAATACGCATTTGAATGTGACGAGCCTGAGAATTAGACTTTCGTGTAATTATTTTTAATAACATCATTTTGTATAAATTGATACAAGTATTATTATGAACGACTTCGTACCACAAAATAGCTGCTCAAAAATTAAACAAATTAATACAAAATTAATGTAGCTAACAGAAATTAAAATGCGACAAAACTTTATTTAAAAGTATACGTAAAAAATAGTGGTAATATTCAATAATAATTCATAAAATATTTATTTACGTTATTATTAAGAACTAATGCTGTATAAGTTAAAAGATGAGTTATTCATTCAATTAACGTTTGTAAAAATTATAATTTAATAATAGAAATCTAGAATGAAACCACACTGGACTGAAATATTCCGTATACAGAGTAATACAAATTTTAAAATAAGGTTTTTTTTACTCAACGAGTATTATATTCAATAAATGAATTCGCCGATGTAATTAAACAAAGTAATTGCTCTATAAAGTTATTGTTTTACACAAAAATTTGCTTCTTACGTTACGATAACTATGACGTTATTTGCAAAACATTACTTTCTAGATGAGAGTGAACGGTGAATGTGACGAAATCGTTTAGTAATATTCACAAGTTTATTTTTTTCCTGTGTAATCATTTATAATTTATCATGAATTATCGAATAAAATTAATATACAATATATTTTAGAGCAAGAATTTGTTATACATGTTTACAAACTAAGAAAGTAAATACATAGGTAGTAATAGCAGCAGGTATGGCCTACTATCTTACAAGAGGTTTTGCGTGCCAAAAATTCATCATACATTGTATGTTTTAAATGTATATTATTATAACTAATATTAATATTATTATTTATTAATGTTACCATTAATATTATCATTGTTTCTTATTATCATTAACATTATTTACTTATTACATAAATCATATTTGTTGTATATGATTTATATATATATTTATTTATTTATTTATTTATTTTATTTTATTTATTTATTTATTTATTTATTTATAACGAACACCACCCATTACTATTAGAATTACAAATGGGAGCTTTACCATCTGTCTCTGTCTTTCTTTTTCCGCTTTTTCGATAGATCTGATACTCAAAATAGATGATATATCGTCGAATGTAATGTGATACACGCATTTTTTCATTAATCACTCAGGAAAAAAGTTCGTCCTCCACAGTTCACCTCCCATTCCATTATAGTGGCTTTTTCCATCGTTTTATATTCCACTCAAATTCATTGTAGACACACTCATGGTGTATTTATGTTTGTTGATTATGGTACAAATCTGTAAGCAAAAAAGTAGAGTGTGTCTCCTACAGTAATTCATTGGATAAATTATATCGGCGAAAACAGTACTGATTTTTTTTACTTAATGTAAAGGTAATTACATAATATAAATTTTAATTAAATACTTCATAAAATTTATCTGTAAAGACACATGTTTTTCAAGATCAAAAAACAACATAAAATTTATTACACATGTGTTTTCTTCATTAATATACATACAACTGCATAGCTTTAAAACTACTAATTAAAATACTGAAACCTTTCATTCCATGCTGGAATTAATACAAAGATTTTCTAAAAATCTTATATATAACTTTTAAAAATCGAAGATATGCATTAAAGCGATAGCATTTCATTAGTTGAATTAACAGCATTATATTTTTTTTAACAGAAACAGCTTATGTACAATATGCATTTATTTGGGTTGCATTAAATGCGTTATACTAAACTTAATTACTTTATTTTTTCCATATTCCTTTTCAAATATTACTGCGAAGAATTATTGTGTAGAGCAATATGTCAATTATTACAAACTAACATAATTAAATTATCAACAATCCAATGGCTTATGTAAGTACAATATTAGTTAATAAAGTGTTTGTAAAAATATTTTAGGAACAATAATTTATCCCCACTTAACATACTACAGTTCACACATCGAAAATGAATATCATAATAGAATTAACCTATGTATTTTAATTTGCTCTACTAATAAATTATCAATCAATAAATATAAAAAGTGTATCTACTATGAACGGATATAAATACTTAACAAATGAATTAAAACAAACAGATTTACATTATAAAATCAAGAATGATTCAAGATTTTTTAGCATTAAATTATTAAGTATTTAAATGAAGGTTTTTCAAGTACTTACAATTACATTAATTAAATTAACAGACTCAACTTTCAAATAAGAAATTAACATTTCCTTTAATATCATTTCAAGATTTACAGCAGCAATTTCATGACAAGATTGTGAATATATTACATGATTTTTCTTTTGCTTTTTTTGTATCTAACATTTAACGACATTATCCATGTTATAAAAATAAATGTTATGCAAGTATTAATCAAATACAAATGATAAAAAGAGGGAATAAGAAAAGTATATATTTTTAAGCATACTACAAGCAACACTACTTCGTAGTAAAACCTTGCAGAATACAACGTATATAAAATATAAATGGGAAAAATTATTTTGTCTTAATTTTAACATACAATGTTAGTTACACATTATTTTGGTCAGAGTATAAATAATATGTATAAAAGTTTCCATAACAATGTCACAACTGGTAAAATAAAATATAGACTCGTTGAAGATACACACAAATAAAAGAAAGGAAATATGAAATATATAGACTGTGCATTATTCTTTAACATAATAGTTGATTTAAGAAACTATACAGAATACAATAATTAAGCAAAAGTGTTCTTACACAAATAATTATTTCTTATACAAAAAGAAATAAATGCCAACATATTTGGAATTTGTACATGTTCATATTGAAATTGTATTAAACACAATTTACAAGTAACTATAATTGGACAACTTTCAAATTAAAAAACAAACATTATCTATGTAGCGCTAATAGTAATTTCTTAATTATTCAAAAGATATTATATTCGGATAAAATTTATGTATATACGGAACTTAGGATATATTTGTTTACTGCATCTTAAGAGTTTTATCAATTTTTGTATGAAAACAATTTTTTGTGTAAAATGCGAATTTCCTTAAATTTTTCTTCTTTTCAGTATCAGTTATATTGAATAACTAATAAAGGTTTAAAAAGAAGGAAACATTAATTTAAGTTTTGATATTCGCGTATCCTTTTTACTTACTTAATAAATACGAGGACTGAAATAAGTCTAGAGTACATGCAATAAAAATATTAAACATAACAAGAAATATACTACAGCAACATCTACTCAAATATCCCATAATACTAATACAAAATTTTGAATGAAATATCCACAAATGTGTAAATCTTTAACTTAATTAATATTAAATTTGTTTATCCTTTCAAAAAAATCATAAACTTCTATTCCTTATACAATTTGATATAAAAATATGTAGACATAATGTACTATTATACTGAACATTGGACTCATAATTTATCTGATGCACATATCAATTGCTTTGTGAATCTTCAATGGATGGTACACTGTCCACCATTGTTGACCACGAAGGTGACA